GTTTGTGAGTTAAAAATAAATATTGTAAATAATTTTTAGGTAGCTTTAAAGTTCAACTGAAATAGTCAAACAAAGTTAACAATAAATAATTATTACTAAATAGTGGTATGCTAAGGGTATTTTACACTACCATAATTTTTGTTATTAATTAAAAAATTCTCCATGCATTGAAATTTAACTAACAATTTGCGAATTTTTGTCAAAATATAATTGTAGCTGAAAAATATTTTCTGTGTAATCTCCACGGCGTTTATGATCATGTGAAATTCCTAGTTAAATCCGAAAAAAAGAAGCGGCACTTGCTATCCCACTAAAAAGCGATACTCGCTGTGTGACTGCGCTTTGTATTTACCTTATAACAAATATGCCATAAATCAAAGGGTGCCCTTAACCCTCCACAGCCCCCGCCCCCTTGGCAAAGACACAAACAGTAGTGGCTTTTGAAATCGGGCCCATATCCGGCGGAGCTTCCATAATTTTTTTCGCCCCTCATTTGCGTTTGTGGCCAAGAGTGGAGAGCCTGGCCAAAACGTATCTTATCGATGCTTTGCATTTTGCATGTTGCCCCTTGTCGAGCAACAGCAACAGTAAGGCAAAAAAAAAAAAAAAGCAAAGCTAAAAAAAAGGAAATAAAAGAGTAAAACGAAGATGCTGGGCAGCCATTGCAATGTATCTGTATCTGTGAGCGTGCGTGCTGTTGTATCTGTATCTGTGAAGTAGCCCGAGTTGATTTGACTGCAATTTTACTTGTTCCCTCATTTCCAGCCCCCCTTTTTGTGGCCTTTGAAAGATTGCCGACATTGATAAGGGCCAGTGAAAGAGATGGGTAGCTAAGAGGTAGCGAGAGAGAGAAAGAGATGTGGAGAACGAGGACGGCGGAACATCCACTTACTATCTTCGATTCACTTCTCGGTGGGCGTTTCTTGGCACGAATTCCTTGATATGTTTATTGCTCAGCCATCAATTTCCCGGAGATCAATAGATCAAGTCCAAATCAAAGCCCAGTCACTTCTATCAATCCATCACAGACACGAAACGTTACCCGTGTAGTTTAGATAAAAGTACCTTAAATATACTTTTAATTGGTCACGATGCCTTTTGAGTGAGCTTAAAGAAAAACCTAAGAGTTTGGGCTAGAAATTGAATGAAGAAGTAATAAAAATCATATATAGGTAATTCACTTTGTTTAAGATTGGGTAATTAACTATTAAGATTTTAGCTAAAATATATAGTTATTATAGCTTTTAAAAACTGGCCAAAAATATGTTACTGTTTTTCTAGATAAAACTTTCAAGAATCATAATAAAGGCTGATTTATTATTATTAAAATAAGTTGAATAAATATTTAACTAGTTGGTGTAGACTTTAAACCCTTTTAAATTATAACCTTATTTATTTTAAGAATGGAATACAAAAACAGCTTTTAGTGCCGAGTAATTAAAGTTGTGAAGTCTTTAAGGCAAGCCAATTTCATAAATTGTCAACACCTTTAAAGAAATCTGTGCACCCCATTTAAAAATCCCTTCTCATAACAGGCAAGTCATGCCGAATTCAAGGAACCCAGTTAGATTACAGCTGCTTGAGTTCCCACAGAACCCCCACACGACAATGCCAAACACGGTTTTTCCGATCGCCAAACAATTACATCATATGCAACTCACATAAAGGTGGCGGAGGTCAAGAGCAATGGCCAAAAAGGTGCGGCCATTAAAAACTCGAACACCTTTCAGCATAGAAACGTGAACATGCCCACCAAGATCAAGTGCTGGCACAGAGTCATGGAAAATGTTTCGTTATTTAAATGGAAAAGATATAGAGTACAAGAAAAATAGGCAAAAAATGAATGAATGAGGAAGGAAACAGAGGCGAAGTGACAGGCAAAAATGGGAAACACGCAGCATGCGAAGCGTTTTCCTCGTTAAAAGTGAAAAAGCCGCAGTTGCCGCATGTGCCGCAGCCCCTTTACCACGCATTAACACCCCTGTGCCCCACCTTAACCCCCCCCATTTCACTCACCAGGAGAAACCGCCGACACAGTCGAAAAATTCATAGTCGACAACACGAGACAAAATTGCATTTTGGTCCAATGTATGCCGCACCGAAAAGTCCCAAAAAAAAAAACACAGAAAATAAAAGAACCGCGACGCGTCAACCCCCAGGAAAAAAGGGGGAGGGGGTTGGACATTGAGTGGGTGTTTGGGTGGTGGGTGTAAGGGTGTATGGGTGGGAGCCAACAAAATGGCAACATAACATGCAAAAGATACGCCACAAAAGCGGAAAAACCCCCCGAACGGAAAAGCAACACACATACGCAGGAGTTGCGCTTAAATTCCCATTACAGCCATAATGGCTGCGGCTGTGTGAGTGCGTGTATCTGTGTGGGTGTGTGGGTGGGTGGGTGCCAAAAGAAAAATGAAAACGAACTGCGCAGGATCATTAAGGCAACAGAAGCTCCAATCCCTGTCTCTCCGCACACATAGATCCCAAAATCAGACACACAGCCATACAAACAAATGTCAGAAATTCACACAAAAACCAAAGGAGGCAACAAAAACATATACTGGTCGAAGGAGGAACGCACAACAAAAGAAGCTGCCAAAAAAAAAAAAAAACAAATAAATAAATGGCAAAAATGGTGGCTCCCCAAAAACACGCGCACACACATGTGTCCATATAGGGTAGCATTTTATATAGCCGTATTTTGAAGGCAAGAAAAAATACAAAGAAAAACAAGAAAAAGGCGCACATGCCCCCAAGTCGAGGAAAAAAAATAGAAGAAAAAGACTCGCAGCAATTGGAGGCTGAAACATGGAAGTAAATGCCGGCTGTCCGTCCGTTCGTTTGTCCGTTTGTCAGTCTCTCAATCCGACCAGCTGTCAGTGTGTCCGCCTGTCTGAATCCGAATCCCAAGTACTTGGAGCTTGAAGAGCAACAAATACAAGCCAAGTACGATGGCTTTTCTACCAGAAGATTGAAAGCAGCCCAAAAATACCCTTAAAAAAACACTTTACTTAAAACACTTTAATTAGTATATAGTAAATAAAATATTAAGATTTCAAATACAAAGTCTATAATTATTTAAATACAAATATAATTGTATTTACATCTCTCAACATTTTTAAAGTATTTAATTGAGTTACAATTTTTGGTTTATCGTTAGTTATTGTCGAAATTGCAAAATGACCAACATCATAATTTACAAATTACCCCTATTAAAGCAATAAATCCTAAATGCACGCAAATTGATCAATACAAAAGGGTATATAATTAGAGTAAATTACATGAAAATTCGTAAATGCAAATATAAATACATAATATGATTTAGTAATTGATTTTATTATCACTTATTTGAATAGTTCCCAGGTTTATCTATCCCATTGACTTACTAAAACCTCAGTGCCCAGCTAAAGAGTATGAGAAAAAATATAAACCTTCAGAAATTGGCGAAAAAAGTAAGGAAAAGAATATACAGAGGGAACAGCAACAATAAGAACAACAACGGCAGCAGCAACTTGTCTGCTCCGCCTTTATAAATAATTCATGTGTAGCTACAGCGAGTGCGAAAGATACGCAAGATACATACACACACCCTGGGTTCCCAGCCCCGCCCCCTCAGCCCCCTCGCCGCCCCTAACCGCCCCTAACCACTCCCCAAAAAAAAAAAAAGAAACACACAGATACGCGGCCACGTTTAAAGATACATAGATACAAGCAAGGCAACAGATACAGATTTTATCTCAGCACGAATGTGTGTGTTTTGCGATTTTTTTCTGCTTTCCGAATTTGTGAGTGTCTGTGTGTGCTGTGTGTGTGAGGCAACGAAACATTTAAAACGTGCTAAACGCGCGTCAAAGTTTTTCTTAATTTTTCAACAGCAGCCGGGAAAAAGTTTTTCTTTTTTTTTTTGTTTCTTTGCCTCCCTGCCAAGGATTACAGCAGCACATAGTCGGAAAATGAGGGCGGGGAGGGAGTGGCCTGTACATAATGTGGCAATGATTGCATTGATTTTTCTCCCCCATTCCCTTGCCAGCTAAAGTTTGGACGGATAAAAAGAAATAAAGCACGAGACCAAGTGGAGGGAAAATGTTCAACTTAAATACTTGAAAATGGTGGCTGCGTTTCACTTGGCTTGGCCAGGATTTATGAATTTTTCAAATGTTTTCCCCCAGAAAAACGCCGAAGACCCGTTCGCCAAAGGGAAAAACTTTTTGGCAGTAAAACTTTTGCCATTGAAGCCCGGACTCCGGAGAGTGCGGCACTTGGGTAAACAGGGAAAACTCGGATTATTTGATAACAGTTTGTTAATTAGCGCCGTCTTTGCTGTCTCACTTGCTATTTGTTTACGTTTCCAAAGGCATAATTGGCAAAATGAATTTAAGTTTGCGCAAAAAAATAAAAAAACAAAACCTGCAGAGCCAAGCAAATTAAAATAAGGTAGAAAAGTTGTTAGAGAAACAAGTTAGTTAGTCGCTGTTATTTTTGTTTACTTTTGCCGTCGGCAAATACAGATTTATTTTGTATTGATACGAAAATTTCTTCTTATTTTGGAAAGGGATATTAAAAAAATATACACAACAATGTTAATGGTTTACAAGTTTTTTTTAATAATTATTATTTAATTACATATTATTATAGAAAATTTGAGCTTTTAAGGTTTAGTTTCCTTTTTTATATACTTTATTTGTACCTTAAAAATTAAAGGTAAAAGTTTTTTTGTTTTGAATTCTACGATAAAGCTTCAAATAAACATTTTGGAACTATTTTATTTACATAACATAACTTAACTTATTTTAAATTAAGTTGACTTATTTAAATATTATTATTTATCTACCTACCAAAATAATATTTATTGAAATTGGCTTCTTAAAAAATATTGAAAGATACTGCAAAAGTTTAAGAATATTTTTAATAGTTACTTGCAGTTTAAGCAAACCATTTTCCTTTTTTTTTAAGAATTTTACTTGCAATGTTGGTACTAAAAATTTGTATTTTTCTTGCAGAAAAACAACGCCTATCTCACTGCGTTGGCTGTGGCGGCCAGATCCACGATCAGTATATCTTACGCGTTGCCCCCGATCTCGAGTGGCATGCGGCGTGTCTGAAATGCCAGGAGTGCAGGCAATTCCTGGACGAAAGCTGTACGTGTTTTGTGCGCGACGGCAAAACCTATTGCAAGCGTGATTATGTTAGGTAAGTTAAAAGAAAAAATGAAATAAAAATACTAGATTTAAATCATTAAAGAAAACAAGGAGTATTAAGACCAACAGATTATGGTTCTCTAGCACTACATCTCAATCTGTATAGTTTTTTTTTTAACGAAAATAACAAACTCATTGAATCTAGAATAGCCCCTGCATCTCCAACCGAAACATTATCTAATTTCCACTCAACCAAACAGATTTGAGAGCTATTTGCACAACCCTAGGCACACACACTCCATGTCATGCGCTTGGCCTTTTCATTTCCAATTGTAGCGTCCGGCAAACGTTTAGGCCAGCCTTGTTAGCCCAGCCAATTAGCCCGCTGATGCCAACACAAAAAGGCAAATACCATGTTCTAATCAACAGCTGGTCCAGTAGCCGGGGACTTTGGGTTTCATCATCGCTAAATGTATGACGTGCAATAAAAACCGTGTTTGGGTCTTTTTTGTTTTGCCATCGTAAAGCCGGCGACCGGCGACCAAAGTCGCAACTATTTGCCATGCAAATCTTTGAATAATTGATTAACACGTGCAAAGCTATAAATTAGCACTTTTCCACAAGCACACACACACACACACTGCACGCTCAGATGATTGATGAACACTCGCCTCAGTCATCGATGTCGGCACTGACAAAAGAATTTTATTTTATAGCCATAAACGAGCACCGCGAACACCCCCTTCTGAAAATCTCCCGTTGATGAACTTATTCAAGGCTGTTTACACGCACTAATCATGGGATCTTTATCCGATATTTGCCATCTTCTATTGTCCAATTAAAGGAAATATTAACTTTCAGAGTTTGCTTAGATTTAGATATATCTTTACATGTTAAAATATCTTTTGATTGATTTCAATTGATTATATTTTAACTTAGATATAATTCAATATAATTTTGTTCTTATTTTTTTTTTATTGAAGCATAGAAGCTAAAATGTTCTTTCATTTAAAATACTTACAGGTTATTTGGTACAAAATGTGATAAATGCGGCAACTCCTTCAGCAAAAATGATTTTGTGATGCGGGCCAAAACGAAAATCTTTCACATCGAGTGTTTTCGATGCTCCGCGTGTGCGCGACAATTGCTGCCAGGTGAGTTTATTATTTATTTAATAGCATTTCGACCCCAACCCCCCTGCTTCGTTTCCCCAACCCCAAGTGCCTTATTTACCCAACAAATAACCGAATGTTTACCTGGAATTTTAGGTGATGAATTCGCGTTACGCGATGCCGGAGCTTTATATTGCAAGGAGGATCACGATGTGCTGGAGAAATCGTCGCAGAGCAGCCTCACTTCTTCGTCGGTGGAGAGCAACAACAATATTAGCAGTAGTAACAACAACAACACCAACCTTAGCAATAACAACCATTCCAGCGAATTGGGTTCAATGTCAGGTGAGTGTCGCCTTTGGCCCTTGATTTTGGCCCTTGATTTTGCCCTTTGAGAGGTGCTTAGAGTGTGGATTGCTTTTTGGGGCATCATTTCAGAGGGTTTCGAATTTGTTTATTTACTATAACAACCCTTCATCAATGGCTCTTCAAGTTAGGGATGTTATTTGTGCCCCAAAGTATTTCTTTTGTTTACCCTTTCAGTTGACAGTGTAACTAAATATTTTCTCGTTAGTTTTCCTGCATCTTTGTTGCCCACTATATGACTCATTCATAAGCTTTGTTTGTAGCATAAGTAACTCAATATATTTAGTTTGTGGCTGAGCTCGAAATAATAAAGTCTTCCAATCTTTACCTCATTTACCACTAATTCGCTTTCTCAGTTTTTAATCTTGACAATGCAAGTAGTCACATAAATTCGTAAAGACTTAAAGCAAAACTATTTTAAAATCGAGCTGCAAATAAGGACGTAGTTACTGACTCCGAACACGTTCTCCGAGTTCAGTTTTAAAGCTTCTTATTTACAACATCTGCAACTGTGTCCCATATTTTATGGAGCTTACAAAGTCGCAAGCCATTTCCACTATCGGCCATTTGAATTCCCCAGGCGAAAAGTCAACCCATTCTGTGCCCCAACCATTCCTCCGCCGTTTCCGCTCGCTTTCCACCGAAAAGATTGCCAATCCTAATTAGCCCAAATTGGTCTGGTTCTGTGAATGAAAACGGGAAACGGGAATGGAGCTGCGACTATGGGCAACAAATAAGCACACAGTTCGGCATCGCACAAAAGCGCTGTGCTCGTGTTTTGTTCTTAGAAAAACAGCGTTACATCCTTGTAAGTGATAGTGGAGGTAGAGTCAATAGAAATCGGCAAACGTCAAACAATGTACGACAATTGTCGAACCATATCGTCAACATAATCTCATTGTTTAACCAGAACGGAGAAAAGCGAAGGGACTGGGTATGGAAAAGGCACCTTATCAACATGGGGCGGCGATGTCAAACGATGGATGCCAAACGTGTGTGGTGGTCCAAAACCCCTCTCAACCCTCAACCCTCCACCTTCACTCTCGTTTTGCAAAGGGTTCGAAATAACAAAAAAAAAATAAAAAAAAACTTGCTGCCAGGGCAAACAAAAACTCCACATTGCATCGATGCGTTCAAGCGGGCAAACATTGACAAGCAACTTCTTGGGAATTGGACTTTTGTTTGACTGACTTCGATCGACGGATCGCCGGATTGCCGTATTGCCGGATCGACGGGTCGTATGATCAATCAGCCAGTCGCATAGCGCACCATTCATAGTTCCACTTGCCGAACTGTTTGTTTGTGTTCAACTCGAAAACGGCATGCAGTCCGATCGAGTGTTTGCCAAACCGCAGCGGTCGCCAGTCTTTGAAGTTCGGCACTGGGAAAAATATGTTAATTTCTGTGGGAGATTTGTAAATTTGTAAAATTGGCAGCCTTATTATGAGCGGAAAGATGCGAAATACCTCTGAAATATTGATTCACTGATTTCTTTATCACTCAAATATTATTGTTTAGCCCGAAACAAAACACTGGGCGAAACTAAGCCCAATTTTGGTAAGAGTTTTTGCCAATTTGCAATCCTTGATAAGAAATGAATGAGAGAAAATTCCTTCAAAAGAACCACACCGCCCAGATAGAAATCACCGATCGATCTGTACGATCAACAACTAGATAGCGCCTTGTTTCGGGGGTTGTGAAACACGACTTAATTACCAGCGATCGATGGCAATAGGGAAACGCGTGCGCCTTTGATCTTCCAATACCGAATTCTCCACATTTAGCGATATTTTTGGGCGCAATTGTAGTCATCAAACAGAAATAGAATAGAAGCAGGAAAACCAATGGCAAGCGAGCAATCTACCCAACGGCACTTCAAAGTGTTTCTTTTTGGCCAAAAATAGCAAACGAATTGGTGAAATAACTCCGTAAATTTCTATTTCCATTTCCAGATTCTGGCAGCGAGTCGGGCTCACACAAAAGTATTAGGGAAAAGCGACCCTCGGGGCCTTCAGATGGCAAGCCAACGCGAGTTCGGACCGTGCTCAATGAGAAACAGCTTCATACGCTCAGGTGAGTAATCTCTATCCAATAAAACCATCTTAAAAGAGCAGATTAAGTTTCACCACAAAAAAATAAAAATTTTGTAACTTTAATGACTAAAAAAAAGACGTGTTTTTTACAAATATATTACCCTCAAACATAACAACATATTAAATAGAGTTTTTTTATTTCGATGTTACCTGAAAATAGATTCAGCTATCACATAATATGTTAGTTTATTTAAGAATTGATATTTTTCATTTCTCAATTCAGTATAAATAAATAATATTCATCTATTCATCATTTAGAACCTGCTACAATGCTAATCCGCGACCTGATGCGCTCATGAAGGAGCAGCTGGTGGAGATGACGAGTCTGTCGCCGCGAGTCATCCGCGTGTGGTTCCAAAACAAGCGCTGCAAGGACAAGAAAAAGACCATTCAGATGAAGCTGCAAATGCAGCAGGAGAAGGTAACCACACCCCCTCTTTAAGTGGCTTTAAAAATCTAATTAAATCCCGCCTTTGCAGGAGGGTCGCAAGTTGGGCTACGGCGCCATGCAGGGCATCCCCATGATCGCCAGCTCGCCGGTTCGACATGACTCCCCTCTGAATCTTCAGGGTCTGGATGTGCAGACATATCAGCCGCCGTGGAAAGCCTTAAGCGACTTCGCCCTGCACGCCGATCTCGACAGCAATGGCGCGATCAATACCCACACGCCCGCATTTCAGCAGCTAGTCAATCAGGTAAGAATAAACAGATAATAGGGTCTACAATATTTTTAAAAGATTTTTTATAAATCGTCACTGTTAAAAACAAAATAAAAACTGATAAAAGAAAAACTAGTTTTACAAATCGCTGAATTTAAAATACAATACATTTGTAGTAATTTTCTTTTAAATGACATCCACACATTTTAACATTTGTTCGTTGTTCCTTCCGCAGATGCATGGCTACGACCTGAACGGGATGCCCATCCTGCCGCCGCATCCGCACTCGCATCCGGCGCAAGGTCCGCCCCACCAGCACCCTCCGCCCCCCGGCGGACCGCACAACCACCAGAACCAGCAGCCGAACCAACAGCCCGGAGGCAGCAGCCTGGACTCCGGGATCACCTCGCACCACCATCCGGATAGCACCGACTCCTACGTCACCTACCTGGAGAGCGATGACAGTATGCAGGGCAGTCCGTAGACAATCGAACCGAATCTAATCCAGCTTCTTTTGTTGCTCCCAGAATCCAAACTGGCGCTGACCCCGTCGTCCTCATCCTCGGCCTCGGCGGGCACATCGATCTCCTCGCCGCCATCGGGTGTTGGAGCAGGGGGTGGTGCTGGTGCAGGTGTGGGCTTGGGTTTGGGCCTGGGCGTGGGCGTGGTGGCCAATCAGTCGGCCACCGAGCAGCTCATGCAAATGCTCCAGAAGGTAACCGGCTCCGCTTCCCCGGCCTCGCATGCGGTGCTCTAAAAACCAAGGGGCGTGCGGGGGCGTGGCTGGAAGCTGGCGCCGTAGGATCTACAGTCGAACTTCGCTAACTTAAAATTTTTCACACCGAAAATTCACATCCATAAAAATATAATTCTGGAAAATATTAATTTAGTTTAGGCTCAAAAATTAATTTACAATCATATTTAGATTAAAGTTAATTTAGTTTCTGCAGAACGATCAAGTTTATGTTATAGCCAATGTATTCTTCAATGTTGTAAATTGATTTTCCCAATCAAATTATCCAGTTAGAAAAGTTCGACTGTATTCGGGGATGTGTGCAATGGTTTTTGCCCCTGTTTTTTTATTCTACTAAATTTGTATTCTGTAAATTTAATTTTATTTTGTTTGATTCGGTGCCAAAAAATAGTCTGTAGGCCGTTGGCATTTTGGGGATAATCTGGCTCTGGCTCTGGCTCAGTTGCACATTTCGTTATGTAACATACACTTTTGTTGTTGAGTTCCAAAATGAAAACATGAAAAAATTAAATTAAAATAAGCTAAACAAAAATGCTCACACACTTGAAAAGTTTTACCAATAATTTTTGACACGAAAACAAAAATTATGATAACAAAAGGAAAACAGTTACTTCGCATCAAGTAGGGAATTTCATTAAACATAAATTTGTAAATAATTTTTATATATAAATAATAAACGAATATATTTTCATTCAAAATGCAAAACAAGAAAAAGAAAAAGCGATCGTAAGCATTCAAAAACAAAAAAAGAGAAACTGACTCGTGTGTATTATATGGGATAAAGAATCCGAGGGGTAGCGATAAACTATAAAGGCGCACTTGGCAAACTTGTAAATCGAATTAACAACAACAAAAGCATCTACGTCTAAGCTCGTAAATTGTATGGCAAAAGAAACACAAAATTATTATAAATAAATAAATGCAAGCAAAGAAGTGGGGAACTTTATGTAAGTGAGAAAGAAAAACTGTAACTAAATCTAGACTTATTTGTTAGTTTTAAAACATTTCCGAAATGCATTATAAGATGAGGAAGACAAAAAATCCGACAGCGGGAAGGAAAATAAGAGAGAGAAAGCGAAATGTACCAAGGATGTTTATAAACTGTTTCGTAAAACAACTAATGTATTTTCAATAATATTTAACTAATATTAATAATAAACAGTGCATAAGTAATTTTAGTAACTATAGAAAATGTTTAAATGAAATTACAAACGAAAATAAAACGCAAAAAAACAACACAGAAAATAAAATATAAAATGATGTGTTTAAGTTTTATTCTAAATACTATAAATCTGGCAAAAATAATCTAAATATGTTATTTCGATTATTTAATTTGAAATGGGCGGCATAGTTAGCACTGCTTGTTTCTCCCTAGTTCAACTGCTTGTCAAAATGGTTCGTATCTCCGCTATTCATTATTAGATCTGACAACAACCCATCTGCGGTGGGGAACTTTGCCAGCCAATGTGTGGATTGCTGGTATTTTTAGTACTTTTTAATGGTATTTTAAAACTGTAATTTTTATAGTTCAAACAGTGGTTACACTGGTCGCCAGCTGAGTGATTATTTATTTTATTTTAAGTAAATTTTTCTATTAAAAATCGCTTAAAATGTCTATTGCCAAGCGTGTACAGGTGCGTTAGGGTATTAACTTCAATCTTCAATGGTTAATTATTTAATTTCCCCTCTTCTTTAGCAATGGGCAACGTTTGCGCGCACCTGGCACATTTACGATTGCACTTGGCAGAATCCATTTGAGTCTGCTAAATTGGTTAAAACCCATTTAATGGGCCTACAAAAGCCTATTTATCATCCCATGAGTAAGTATTCTCCAATGGTTATGTTCTAAGTTAAGATTTTATGTGAAAAGTGTGCAAAATTACTTCTTTTTTGGAGACATTTCGGATGTCATTACATCACCGGCGTGTTTTCATAGTTGTTGTTGCTGCTGCAAGTAAAAAATGAAAACAAATAAACGATTATTTAAAAATGGTAATTATTAGACCATTCAGTTGCGATTTAAATGGTAAAAGCAGGCATACAGTATATAAATATATTAATAATTACATTACCACAGAATTTTTAAAGTTTAATTTTACTTTACTTATTAAACTTTTACTATTTTGGTCGCAACTGAACTACCATTTCGTTTTTATACATTTTCTGACCAGTGATTGTTGTACTTTTAGATTAAGCAAGTTATCCTCAATGGCCAACCAATTCAAATCCGTAAATGTAATTTTCCAGATGACTGCGGTGACCATGTGGTGCTGATTAACACACGGGAAATCGCTCTGCCCGGAGACGAGTGGGTTAAAAGGGTTTACTTCCACCACACCGGATATCCTGGAGGAGCTTCGTGGACGCTGGCGTGGCAACTGCACGAGAAGGATCCCACGATGGTCATGAAAAAGGCGGTTTACAACTCGATGCACGGAAATCTGCAGCGCAGGCACACCATGCAGAGATTGCATTTATTCGCCGATGATCAAGTTCCCGAGGAAATCCTGCAGAATGTTACGAATCAGATTCGCACACCGCGCACAATTCCTCAGCGTTTGGATCATATTGACAAAGAAACGCTGGAGAACTTCCCCAACATTATGGATTATCCCAAGGATTATATATTGCGTTGATTTGTTGTGTTAAAATCATTGTAATTAAGATAAATACAAAATATTGAAAAATCATAAAAATGGTTAATATAATTTAAAGTTAAATGTGCTTATTGTAGATGTTGTGTTGAGTCCGATTTTTGTTTTGCCTTTTTATTTATTACTTATTTTTACACGGTATCTTCGCGGCGACTAAACTCACTAGAAAAGCTTAACCTTTTTTGCGTTGGCAATGCTTTGCAAAAAGGGATGTCAGGTTTTTAAATGTCAAATTAATTTTTACAAGCTTTATTATTTAAACAAAACCAAAAGTCGATCGAAGGCAAAAATTTATCAAATCGTTTTATTTTGTTTTAAAGGTTAATTTAATGAAGGTTTTCGACTTATTTAAACATTGAACATGTTATTGTTTTTATAACTTTGGTACTCTCGACAACCCTTATATTTGCCGGCTGTGTGGCAGTGAATTGCATTTTATTCATCTCATTTGTATTTTTGCTTCATTTTGTATCCATCTCTGGCGACAACGCCTACGACTCAAATATATACTACATATATAGAAAGTGCGGTCATCACTGAACGCGACTATCTTAAACCACAAACAGCTGGTACAATTAACCCAAGCTTTTGGCTTATCTGCGGCCAATATTTATTGTCTTTAACGATAAGCATTATCGCAGTAAAGAAATGTATAAAAACATATTCATTACGTTCTTTTTCAGTCTCCACTCGCGGCTTGTGCACTTCACACAAACTACTCCCGATTTACCAGATACAAAAACGCAATATGGGTCGCTTGGGAACCGTAGATCCTAGCTCTTATTCGCAGCCGGATTTGATCACCACGGAGCACAGTGTTCTTAACTGGAAAGTCGATTTTGGGGCCACCAAACTCCAAGGAAGTGTGCTTCATCACTTCAAAGTGCTGACTGCTAATCTCGATAAGATTGTGAGTATAAAGAGTCCCTTTGATTTGCTTAATAGATTCAGATGTGAAAAACAACAGGAAAAGTTGGGGGCCGAATACTCCTTTAAAAAGTATCTTATATATTTTCAATGTCTATCATTATGGGAAGTATTGCGATGGTCTCTTACAAAAGAATATACCCAAGTTGTAACCACTTCAGTAGATTGTCCCAATAGGAACCATACTAAGTTTAAAGTTAAATGTATTTAAAACTTTATATGTAAGCTAATTATAGTATTGTACTTAATTTATTTAAATTTTATATTTAGCTCCTGGATGTGCGTGACATCAATGTAACCAACGCCACGTTGCTGGCCGGAGGCAGTGAGCTACCGATCAACTACTTCATCAGCGATGCGGTCGATGATATTGGTCAGAAGCTAACGCTGGAGTTGCCATCTGGAACGGCTAAGGGCAGGTAAAACCACAGCGAAAGATAATCTAATCTATATGGAACTCATAAATAATCTGAAACACTTGTAGCCTCAATGTTCGCATCGATTACGAGACGTCGAGCACCGCCAGTGGATTGCAGTGGCTGAATCCCACCCAGACTTTGGGCAAGGAGCATCCCTATATGTTCTCCCAGTGCCAGGCGATCCATGCTCGTTCGGTGATTCCCTGCCAGGATACCCCGGCTGTTAAATTCACCTATGACGCCACAGTGGAGCATCCCAATGAGCTGACGGCTTTGATGAGTGCCCTCATCGATAAGAAGGAACCTGGGAAAACGCAGTTCAAGCAGGAGGTGCCCATTCCCGCCTATCTGGTGGCCATTGCAATTGGAAAATTAGTCTCCCGCCCGCTGGGTGAGAACTCCAATGTCTGGGCAGAGGAAGCTATTGTGGACGCTTGTGCCGAGGAATTCTCCGAAACAGCCACCATGCTGAAAACTGCCTCCGAATTGTGTGGTCCTTATGTCTGGAAGCAATACGATCTGCTGGTGATGCCGCCATCATTTCCCTACGGGGGCATGGAAAATCCTTGCCTGACGTTCGTAACGCCAACTCTCTTGGCCGGTGATAAGTCGCTGGCCGACGTGGTGGCCCATGAGATTGCCCACAGTTGGACGGGTAACCTGGTGACAAACAAGAACTTCGAACATTTCTGGTTGAATGAGGGCTTCACAGTGTTCGTGGAGTCAAAGATCGTGGGAAGAATGCAGGGAGCCAAGGAGCTGGACTTCAAAATGCTCAGCAATCTCACTGATCTGCAAGAGTGTATTCGCACCCAGCTCAACAAGACACCCGAGTTGACCAAACTCGTGGTGGATCTGTCCAACTGTGGGCCCGATGATGCCTTCTCTTCAGTGCCTTACATCAAGGGTTCCACATTCCTGCGTTATTTGGAGGACTTGTTCGGCGGCCCGACTGTTTTTGAGCCTTTCTTGAGAGATTACCTGAAGAAATATGCCTACAAATCGATTGAGACGAATGATTTTAAGAGTGCTTTGTATGATTATTTCATTGATACCGACAAGAAGGATAAACTGAGTGCGGTCGACTGGGACTTGTGGCTCAGCACCGAGGGAATGCCGCCAATTATTCCCAAGTAAATAAGACTGCTAAAGAAATGTAATATTTTGTTGTAATACTTTGCAAACTATTTTAGATTCGATGAGTCCCTGGTTAATGTGACCAAGGAATTGGCCAGTCTCTGGAGCACCAAGAGTGTCGCCGAATTGGCCGACAGTGCGGAGATCAAGAAGAACATTTCCATTCACCAGCTCATTGATTTCCTGGGCAAACTGATCGAGAGCAAGGATATTGTTGACCTGACCGAGCGTAAGATTGAGCTCCTGGAATCCACCTACAACTTGAAGAATTCCAAGAACGCCGAGATTCGCTTCCGTCTCAATCGTTTGATTATTCGAGCCCGTTTAATTAAGCGTCTGGATGAGATTTTCGAATTTGCCAACTCCAACTTCCGCATGAAGTTCTGCCGACCCATTTATCGCGACCTGGCAGAGTGGGCCGAGGCTAAGCCCGCAGCTATTCGCAACTTTGTCAGTGTCAAGGATCAGATGATGGCCGTGTGCTCGCACACAATTGAAAAGGATTTGGGGTTGAAGTAAATTTAAGTTTGATTTTTGCATTTTAAAAGGTCTAAATAAACAATAAAATTGTTGCACAAATTAAATTAAATTAAATTGAATAATGCAATATTTTGGCGAAAAAGAATGTATCCACAATTAATTTAGAACATTCATTTTGTTTGGTTTTTCTTGAATTATTTGTTTTTATTAAAAAATAAGCAAAACTACGTTTATAACAAGTTGATTTCCATTTCCATGCTCATTTCTAATCATCAATTTTGCTTGCAATTTTCGCGTTACCTTGATACCATATTATTACCAATTAAATGTTCCTTTTTTTTATAGTTATAGCTCAACATTGACCAATTTCAAATGTTTGGTGTTCTCGTATAACTAATCAAATGGGCGTTGATCTGGTTGATCTTCGTTTCAAATTTCTTGTCGTTTAAATTCTTTAAATTTCTCTCTCGACTTGTAGTACACATACACACACAATATATTAAATTTATTATTGTTTGCTTTGCTCGGCTGCTTAAATATTTTCTCTGTTGGTGTATCAACTTCTAATCCCGACGAGTTTTGCTTGTGGTTTTTAAACTAATTAACAATTTTGTTTTTTTTGGTTTTTTGTCTTTGTTCACATCTTACATCTTGACCAAAATGCTTCAATTAATCCAATTCTCCAATTTAATAGCTGAGAGATCTCTGTAATTATTCCTTTTCCCCGGTCTGCTGGATCACTCTTCGCGGTTCTTCTGGCAGAGGAATTAAAAACTATCACGCACTAGAATTATCATTGGAACGGGACGTGGATGGACCGGCACCCTGATCATCGCCCAGCACGAAAGTGGGACTCTGGCGGGATGTGTGATAGTGGTAGCCCTCTCTGTAGCGCTGATTGGGTTTCGACCGTGCGGTTTGAGTGTGACCCAATGCTGGACGCTGATTGTTGAGCTCATTGGGTCGTTTGGCTGCAAGTGGTGCATTATTATGTGTATATCTCTTATGATTAATACCTTTTCCTTACCAGGTATATAAGGCTTTTGATTATAGGACGATTGTTGTTGTTGGTTATATAGATCCGATGAGGTGGCATTGCCATTGTGATGATATGGCGTCGCCTGCAGATCGGTGCTACAATTAATGGGACTCATCGGCGTCATCTCGCGATCCTCGATAAACAATTCGCTGGCATCGTCGGGCACCTGACGGTACTGAGTCCATGGCCAGGATGCGATGCCCGAAAGAAGAAATGCCTCCAGGCCGCAAAAATAGCCAATTATCTGGTTTTTAAAAATGATATTTTAATTGACTTTAATATGACACGTTTTAAATAATCAAAAACTTACGCCAGTGGCCAGCAGCGTGTCCTTGGAATGCTTGGATACCCATGTGTATTCAGTGGCACAGAGCACCATGTGAACAAGTAGCGTGGAGCTCAAAATAAATATCAAACCAATACTCAGGTACATCCACGTATTCTGATTGATAAAATATATAATTCATATATAATTTCAATGTGCTTTCCAGTTCAAATATCTTCATCACTTACCACTTTAGTCCAGTTAAATGGAAACATGAGAGCTATATGCGATATATCCAGAAAGAGCATGAGACATGTGATGAGTAGCGAAAACAGCGCACAGAAGACCATCAGCCTCAGGCGCCCGATGAGTGGCAGTAGAAAGAGGCCCACCTGTACAGTGCCCGCGGAACATTCGCAGGCTAGACAGGCGGCCGAGGATAACTGGTAATTAAGTAACAAAGTTAATTTAAAAATTGTTTTTGGAAGGCTAAGAAAGGTTTTAGAATTCCATCCTATTTGTTTTATGTATCTGCTTTGTTTACCAAAAAAAAAAATCAGAATTTAGTTTTAAACTCTATTTTAAATTCTCTATTTCAAAATGTTTAAAGTTAGAATGCCAACACTTTTTAAGAACGTAAGATTATATTTCAGTCTGTGACATTAGTAGAAACCCTCAAATTTTTCCTCGTTTCGAGCTTACCACCAATAGTATGCGCACAATCCCTGTAGGCGATTTCAAGTGTTGCGGATCACAGTGGAGGGCGACGCCCCATGGCAAGGGGGTGTGGCCACCCCTCTGCTTGTAGTTGGCATGGGAGTCCCAGGAGGTGCAGGTTCCGAGGGGGGATTCCAAGGACAGCGAGTGCGAGTGCGAGTGGGAGAGCTCGCCGGCCCTGCTGCCAGCTATCTCAAAGTCCTGCTCATCGTCCAGTTGACAGCAGGTCGGCTCGATCTCCAGCTCCCGAATCTCGTCCAGCAGCAGTTCTATCTCGTCCGTGCCATATAGATCAGATACAGACGGTATATAACGTTGGGGTTGTTGCATTGCCCGTGGCGGGATGTGTCCCACATCACCGATGGTTGCCCCTCAACTGTCAAAAACTGCGCGCCTATGTCTCTTTCTCTCCAGTTATTTCGGTCTCCCTCTCTCCTCCCTCGCTGTCTCTTTCTCTCTCTTAATTATCTCAGCAGCTGAAGATACAAAAATTATCATAATAAGAGTTTATTAAAGCAAGCTCTAAACATTCAATGCTTTAACGTTAAAATATATATGTATGAATACGCAAGAAAAAACCTGAAAGTTTATGTATGTCTTGAAAATTAGCTACTATACCTTAATTATATAAACACAAATATTTTATACTCATAACATATGTCTGAATTATATTGTTGCATGTATTTTTTTATAATACTCCTTTTTTTTTTTAAATGAATACATGCGTGAAATAAGAGAACGAAGGCAAATGAGTGCTGAACGCTCCGCCCAATTTGCTATGCTATATAAATTGATAACTGCCAAGCGGCTTGCCCCCGACGCTCATTAGATATCCTGGCTTCTTTGGCCCCCTTCAAATGTCTCCGCCCCCCTCCCTGACTCCCGTCTGTGCATAGCCATAACGGTAATTTGATATGAGTCGTCGACGACTTTGACGTCGCCCCTGCCTGGCTGTCACTCATACGCCATGTGGGCCGCTGTGAAAACGCGCCGCGGGGAAATACCCTAGGGTGCTGCCAATCTGAATACGCTTTCCCTAGCAGCGGGATGATACAACTTTGCGAGTAAATTTGTTTATGGGAATATGAAGAAAATGCGAGCTTAAACGAAGCGAAAGGGTAATATTATGGTGTGATAGAGACAGGCAAACAAAAATTAAATTCATAATGCTGACTGTAATGAATAACAACGTTGCTCCATTTGAAGAGAAAGAAACGTTTAAGCATACCAACATAATAGGAATAACGTATTTTAATGTTTAAATAATTGTTTTATATAATTATTAAATAAACTAAAATTTGTACCTATGCTTTATTTACTTTCGAATTTAAAAATGTAAGTTCAGTTTGAAAATATAACAATTTTAACTGCGCAACTCTTAAGGGCTTATTTATGTTTCCTATTAAATCACTGGCATTTTAAGACATCCTATCGTGCCTATCGTGGATTATCATTCATTACAGTCCCCTTAAACTATTTTCACACATTCATTAATCACAGAAACTCCCATAAGAGTACCTTGGCTGGTGGTTTCAGCCACATTGTTTCATTTATTATTTTTAATTGCGTCTGATGCGATGCTTCGATAGTCTACCTACTAGATGATGTGGCTGCCAACTGGAAATTAAATTGAAGTGGTTTTTGTGTGCCCCCGTATCTCTTTCCCCGCTTTCCCGCCCTTCCCTTTTCCCAGTTTCCCAACTCGATTTTCCCCATCGATACTCTGTGTGTGTGCAATGAAATTCTGCTGAGCATTTTTTTATGTTACTCACATACATACAGACACACACCGACTAATACTGTCGTAATTAACACAGACATGTGGAATGTGTAAATGTGTGAGCTACATGAAAGCCCAACTCCGTGGAGAATTTCAACAATTTTCAGCTGTCCGGCCGCATTTTCCTTGAGCTGTCATAATCAGGACACAGCTGAAGGTAGCTTATGCTCCTTGTTGTCAGTTGTCCTGCTGCTTTCCCACTGTTTTCCTTGTTGTTTTAGCAGCAGCAGCACAAGGACTCCGAACAGCAGGACATGCGAAATGCAGCTGGACAGGAAGAGCGGAGAATGGGGGGTCAGAATGGCACATACAACTGCATGTTGGAATTTCCCTCTCAGGACAGGCAATGTAACAATTTGTTCTCTCTCTTTCTGGCCAAATATCCTTCCCGCTCTCACTCTCTTGCTAGTTTTTGTGAAGTTTTTGTTGGTGCTGCTGTTCGTGTTGTCCTTGCTCTAGTTTCGGTGCCCGAATGTCCTCAGCCTCCGGTCTGGGTTTCCAGCCCCTTCCCCTCTTTCTGCCCCTGCCCCGCCCAACTGCCCCCCATCCACGCCCTTATCTCTGTCTATTATCGCTGCATATAATCTCCCGATGCTGCTCGAGTGCCTAATGAGAGTCCTTGTCGGCACATCTCTCGCAGAGGACATGCCCTATCTTATCCAATTTGCTCATCGATTGCCAGGCATTAGACTCTTCACCTGCAGCCCCTCTTTTCTCGTTTTTCTCACCCGTTCTTACGCTTCATTTCACACACAGAAACAAATTATTAATAAATAAACATAATTTAATATATTTGTGCAATTTGAATTTATTGAAATTCATTTATTCATTTAAGCTAACTAAAATTATTTAATATTTATTTTGATACTGATTTTGTACTTTTCAACAAATTAATTAATTATATTTATAAAGCCATTTAATTCTATTTGTGATAGAAAAATAGCCTGATTAATATATTAAAATGTATTAAAAAATGGTTTTGAATGATTAGTTGCTACAAAGTAAAGTTTATTTAAGCTGCGTTTTTAATTATTTATTACGATAGGAAAGATTACAAATTTGTTATTCCGATTCTATACAGTATTAAATTTAGAAAATTCAATAACATTCAACTGTTTTCATTCTTCTCAATTGGCAAATAGGCTTAGTTTGTGACTTAACCTTAATTACCTTTTATGATAATTGAGCTCCACAGCTCCTTACTTATACGATAAATTACGGTTTTTGCCAGTGCTCAATTTGAAATCAATTATGCTGATCTGCATGTAAACTGACTTGGCTTCCTGTTGGGCTCCGACTTTAGTTCCCCGTTTGAGTCACCGTTTGCAGGAAGTGCAAGTGCTGGGTATGCAAATTTATTGTCATTGAAGGGGATTGGAATTGGCGTTGAAGCTTGGGGGTGCAGGGGCACGGAGTAGGGGCCATTATGAAAGAGGTGGGCTGAAAGGGTTGGACACTCGACGTTGGCTCGGCTGCATTTCTTATTTATGAACGTGCATAGACAATGCTTTTGGGTTCTTGCTGCTTTTTGTTTGAGCTGAGTGCCTCCCCAAATACAAACACACACGCTCGCAGGCCGTGTGCAAGTTTTGTCGCATTCAATGGACCAAAGTTGCCGTAAATAACTTTTAATAGAATTTTTAATGGGGTTCCCTCGGTCGGCTGATGGCCGTTGGGCTGGTTGTACGGCAATTTGCTTTTAATATAGATTACCATAATGATTTGTCAATGCTATGGGAGCAGTTAAATCCAAAAAACGGTCTTGCTTGCGGTCAGAAATGAATTAAAATCATTTTGAATACTCAAATATTACACATTTTAGTTTGGCAATTTGTGAATTAAAGCTGCTAATAAATTTACATTTAAAATAAAAAATTGTACTAACTAATATTCAGTTTTTTATTTATTTTTTGGCTCTTTATTTATTTATTTATTTATAAATTTTTATTTCACTGCAAACAAAAACTTTTTACATTAAAAATACTTTTAGTCAGAAGAAAGTTTTCCTGCTAAGTTATGTATTGAATATGTATATACAAAACCCAAGCTGGTTTTCCCGGAAAACTTATCGGCCAAGTGAACTGTAACAGTAAAACATGGCTTAGGTCAAATGTCGGACACTCCAAGCTGCGTATACATTTTAGCTAAAATTATTGGAATATTTTCGTGCTTTTTTTTGGCTGTAATTTTTAGTGTTGTTGCTGAATGCAGACAAGTTGACTATCGTCCTCGATTCGTGGCGGCATTCAATGCGGCTGGAAAATGCAGGGGTAAACTGAGAGGGAAACGGAAAACTGGGACCTTTTCCTACTTATTATGCCGCCGCATGTTTCCCAATGTTTGCTCTTTTGCGGAATTATCGATTACAAATGAATATTTCATCAGGAGAATAAGCCTACGAAAAAATGGAGAAATGGGTAGAGGAAGCGGAAAGGTGCCTGGCACCTGTCGCCTCGTGACTTCCGTTTCCGGTTCGCGACACTCGACGGCTATTTTCAATTAAAATGCAGCATTCTTCACGCCCTTTAGTCAAGAATTTTTCCAGCACGGCAAAAAAATGTGTACTTGATCTTAATTAAAAAACAAGCACTACAATCAAGCAACTTGGGCTGCATTCTGTATAAGTAATATAAACATGCTCAGGTTTTATCTGGTCGTTATCATTAATATTTCGAAAATATTTTTCCAATAAGCAAAGTGAAATATTTTTTTACGTGTGCCTCCTAATTTTTTCCTATTTTCTCTCTCTGCCTCTTTAAACTGCTGTTTAATGTATGTCCCCACTTCTGTTTTGTGTCGCATAATTACCAATGCCAGGATAATTAAGGCAACGCCTGGCTGCCAGGCCACACATAAAAAGGACAACGAGTCCCGAATGCGGGTCCTGACTCCAGGGAATCTAATATTGAATGGAAGAGGACGGGGAGCTGTGGGTGGACTTGGGTGGTGCGGTGGTTCAGTGGTGCGAGCACGTGACTAACGGTAATGGCACGCCAAATCACAGGAGAAATGAAATGTTTGCCGGGCGGGAGTGTTCTGAATTCCAAATGCGAATAAAGAAAAGGAAGTGAACTATACATCTGAATTTCCGTTTTCTGTTAGGTTTAAAACAGCAAGTCCGCCAGTTCTTAATGTATTTATATTAATTTAATTTTAAATGACATTCATATATATATATATATAACTACATATCAAAAACTAATTACTATTTGGGTAATAATTTATTGAAATTTGTTATTGATTGAGTAATATTTTAATGTCTAAATAAATAAATTATTAAAAATATAGATTTTTTCAATTTTATTTAAATTAAAATTAATAGCTTGAAATGCAAAGTTGATTAAGACTTTTACTATAAAGTTTTGCATCCAATAAAACTTTCAAATCAATTAATGCAAAACCATGTTTTCACCCAGCTTAAATTTAAATTAAAAGGTGCCTGGAAAATGGATTCCCTTTTTAGTGGCAACTCATGATCCTCTTAAGCGAAACTCTTGCATAAACTCCACTTCAGTTTTGCCACGTGTTACCCCTCTATCCACAAAACTTGAGCAGAAAGTGATTAAGGCTCACGTTTCGGGATTACGTAAGCTCCTACAGGGATACTTAGTCATCTGGGCCTCAGAGCGCTTATATATATTGTGTGTGTGTGTGTGAGAATGTCTGTTGAGCATATCATTCATGTGTTTATGCGATTCCTGAAATGAACACCCCTGCCGCCATTCCTCGTCATTTAAACCATTTTTACCTGGGCTTTTCGGGGCGTCCCCTGACACGTGAGCTCCATAAAAAAGGTAAGAAGGCCCCGTCATTTCATGGACGTTGCAGCACGCGAGGGGTCCTCTAGCCCCAGCCCCTTGTATTAAGCTCTCACCCCCAGTTTTTACCCCACCCTTTGCCGACGCTTTCACTTTTGTTGGGATTTTCAGTTTTCGCTTTTCCCCGCTGCGTAAACACAGCTATTAAATGCGAACTGACCCCAAATGCTGACCAACTCGACAGCTAGCTACCAAATACAGTCTGAACTCATTAAATCAAACATTCTCAAATAAACTCCCTATCATTATTTCGAACGCTCCAACCTCATTAAAAGGCACTCAGATTGCGGATATATACAAATTTATTATGTCCTTAAAAAGACTGTTGATGCTGTGACCAGTTAATCACCAAAATTTGATTAGCCAAATCATTAATTAAATATTATTAAATTGTCGAAACATTCTCAGTTCTCATTCAGTCAATTGTTTGTCTATTTTAAGATATTGAAGAAGTAATTTCTTGCATTTTGCATAAGAATAAAAATAATGCATTTGTTTTTAAAATATCTCAACTTTTATTAGGTCTTTTTTTGAATTCATTATTGGTAGCTCGACTGTATTTAATTATCCCTAATCCCTCTCCCATTCGGTTGTAAACGGGCGGTGGCGGTGCAACAACCTCGTTTTGTGGCAGAAACGACCTTGAACCAGTTTCATTTTTAAAAAATTTTCAGCAAAAGGGAAAAGCCAAGGGGGCGAGCTAGAAAGCGAAAAGCATTAGAAGACTTTACCAACTGAGAACTTTTGCAAATATCTCGGCATATTAATAAGGCCCAAAGCGTCTAACGGCCATTTAATCGCAGCCCATATACGCACACGGAGAATCCACATGTGTGGGTGGGATAAAATGAGGTTCTATGACAGCAAACTAAAAATAAACAAATGAGCCAAGCCAAAAACACAGGAAAAAATAGAAAGAACGAGTTGAGGCTGCTGAAAAGCGCCTGCGTGGAGAGGAAAATAAAAAGAGAGAATTAAAATGGAAAAACAGGCAGAGAGCGGAAAAGCGTGAGAGCCACCACAGTTATTGTTGTGGCTGCCGAAGGATTTCAAGGAAGTGAAATAGCTGCAGACTGAATTTTTCACAGACAAAGTTTCCTATCTGCTTCCTCTTCCTCGTTCACCTCCTCTTCTTCTTCTTCTTGGCTTTTCCTAGCTGTCACTTCCTGTGAGATTCTAAACTTCTTTAAAAAAAATAAACAAACAAATTTTTTTTTTCAAGTAAAATAAATAAAATATGTTATAAAATTGATTCTTTTACGATAAATATCTAAATAAATATAAATAAACAATTAAAGTAGTTTATGTGCTATGCACAGATTTATGAAACCCGAATATCGATGTGACGCGTGTGTAAGTGATTTCTGACTTACAAGTTCATTGAACAAATCGAGTAATAACTATGAACGGCTAATTATAGGTGGATATTAGGGCCACATTTAGATTAATTACCTCTTATGAATGGTATTCATAAGTATAAGTGTTAAGTACTTCAGGTAATTAAGTATCAATTATTGCAAATAAATGAGCATAAGAAGATTTTCGATAAAAAGAATACATTTTTAAAAAATAATTCGACTTAAATTAAGTAAATTCAAGCTTTTTTAGTTGAATTTAACATTAAAGATAACATCTATAAGTTAATGCTGTATTTTATATTTGTATACACTTTTTCAATTTTGTTTTATGTTAAAAAAATGTTTTTTTTTTAAATTTAGCAGTGAACTTGGTTCAATTGAACCAATTCAGATGGTGAACCTTGCACCAACACAAACAGAATGGCAAGCACACACACACACACCCTTGGCTAGTCTGCTCTCATAGTATCCTTTTTCTACGGGTGCTTGGGAGTGTGTGTGTGTGTGCATGGCTCAAAGTGTTATATTGACATTTGGCTACATAATGATTTATGCTGCTGCAGGAGCCGAGCGATCCTTGCTCCTTGTAATTCCTGCTGCTATTTTTAGGGGCATGCCCATAATTTATTTTTATGTACAACCAGCAGCGGCAGCAACAACAACAGGAAGGAGGCAACTATATCACACGCACACACACACTCTCAAACAGAGATATATTTTTTGGGCAAGCGAAGGGCAAACGCTGGAAAGCATGCTACGATTTTTGTGTGGGAGTTGGGTGGTTAATTCGGGGGGCTGGCGGGTGGGAGGTGGTATGTTCGTGTATACAACTAGTTAAATAAATTTACACTTGACCCACCTTTTTATTTCCCAGCTATATGTATTTTATATATATTTTTCCTCCAAATGCGCGGCACGTTTCTATTTCCTTTATTTTTTGGCCAGCAAAAATCTTTTGAAAATTGCCTGTTTTCTTGTATGTGCACATGTGTGTGTGATGGTGCTTGTGTGAATGGGTGGTGGGAGGTGGCGATGATGGTTCTTCCTCTTCAGTCCAACTTAATGTCTGTTCATTCATGGGCCAAAATCTGGTTTCAGTTTTCCTTTCGATTGTGTGTGTATGGAACGGGAAGCTGGCATTTTATTTGAGATTTCCTGGTTTTATTTTTTTTTTTTAACTTTTAATTTTAGTTTTTGTTAAACATTTTGCACTATTTTTTTGCACACCTATTTTTTTTGTTGGTGCTTTATATTTTTCCACTTTTTATTTAACACGCGCAGCAAAACAATTTTCATTTTCACACATTCGCACGAAAATCATTACTCAGTATGCACGGCTTTCCACGGGCTTTTCATTTGCCAACCACCGCGCCCGTCGCCCCACAATTTGGGCCATGCTGCCTTTACTGCCGTTTCTACTGCCTTTCAACATTTGCTAAAACACTCACACAATCGCACGTCGGAGATTTTATTGGGGCGGCTGAGAGGGGGGACGTGGCTGGTCGGGGGGCGTTCGAATGCAAAGCAGCAGAACGGACGTCGAAACCACGCGTCACCAACACAGAAAAAGGCGCAGGGAAAATCCGGAAAAGCCGACGAAACGACAGCGTTGAAAGCCAGCAAACGACTGAAGCCCAAAGAGAAAGCTGAAAGCAGAGAAAGTGACCGAGAGAGAGAGAGAGACTGCGTGTACATCCTTTGCAGAGGCGTCAAAAGTTCACGGAACTAGCTCACAAAACCACCAATACCCACAAATAAATTGAGAGGATGCACGGCCAAAAATTATTGTAATAATTTATTAAATACCGAATAAAAGTTAATAATTCCTTTGAATTATATGTTTCGTCACCGATTTTGTCAACTGTGTTAGTTAACAATTTCTTTTTAAGTAAGAATGTAAAATGTTGTGAAATGCATATTTTTTCTAGATTCCTATATTTTGTATTCAAACGTTTGGGAATACAATTTTTGATTGGTTTTAAAATTAGTTTAATACAATTTAAGAACGCATTTATTATCCACAAAAGTAATTTGTTTTATTATCATTTGTCTATTTTCATTTTAAACTGTGTAGTTTAATTTAAAAATTTTATAATCGTAAACATCAGCATTTAAACAATGAAACTAACGAACAAGCTGCAATTTATTTTACAATAGACCCGCTTATGGACTTTAAATATTCAATATTGATAACGTTTTTAATTTTGTATCAATTTTTTATTACAGTGCCAATAAAGAGCGACCGCCTTCGATTTACTGATAAGCCTCTCAACAAAACGAAGCCCACACGAAGCTCCATCTATTCTGATCAGTTGTGCCGAATACTTTGGAAGAAACGAACGTGTAGCTGCTGAGAAAATACAAAGGCAGATCAAAGAATCGGAGGTGTACATACTATATAGTGCAGCTATACTAAACATAGCTAGAAGTCATTTTCTTATAGTCATTTTCAAGGAAACAGAAAAAATGGAAAGGTGAATTTTAACAGATGGTTTATGTGTACCAAAAATGTGTATATATATAGTGAGTATGGTTAATATTTTATTTGTGTTTCCTAGTTTCTGGCTGGAGGTAAAATCGCTGCTAAAGACCCTGCTCTGCTTTGTGATTGCTTTGATGCTGATGCCTCTGTTGCTGTTATCGTTTCTCTGTAAGTGTTCGACATATCCCCAGCAGTGATCGATGATCGCCGATCCGCGACACGCGCTGCCTCACTGATAAGCCACATAAATCAAGAACTTCAAAAGGGGCCGGCTATATAAATAAACGATCCATGGGTTGATTAACCGATTCTCACTCAGCCAAAGGATCATCCATTAATGGGAAACCAAGAGTTAGAGATATGGGAGGCTGAGAGGAACAGTGAGAGAGTGATTCGCAGAGAAAGTGCTGTAGATAAGCTTTTTGTTTATAAATAATACAGATTACCTGTTGCACCTTTGCGGAACCCAGACAAGCGGCCAAGCGAACCTTGACCAACTGAATTACTCATAAAAATTTTGCCATTGATAAGCACAGACTTCGCTGCTTCTGCCTGATACCCGGTAATCGCTTTGGATGAAGGCATATACCTATGGGATAGACTTGTGATTAAATTCAGCTTACAATCAGAAATTTCAAGCCCCCAAAGTCTGTCGTCAAATATACACATATACATAATTGTGTACAACAATATAATGCAAATTTATGTCTTTGATTTGAAATTAATATAATAACACACTCTTTTAGGTTACTTTATAACAATCAAAGGGTATATATTATTCGGTAAACTCATTAGCATTTAATTTTTATACATTTTGTATTTATTTCTTTAATTGCTTTATTTATTGGTGGGATTTTAATCGCGAGATTTTTAACGCTCCTCCTGAGGTTCGCACAGCAGCCATTAAAATCCCTATCCATATTTTTAGGCGCACACTTCACCAACGAACTATCCAACTATGTGCTGAGCATCAAGTACCCGAACCTTACCATCTCAAAGTCCAAGAAGATCCGGACCTTAATCGACACGCCGAAGAATGCGGGCGTATTTCACTTTTTGCTTCAAGTGGAGGGAAATTGTGACTTCGAGAAAATCAAGATGTCCTATGCCCAATATCTAACTGATCTAAGAGACAAAACTGGGATGCTAAGGTTTCCCAAGCTGCGTCAAAAACTCGTCCCTTGTTGGGGGCATTATGCGTGGGTTAATGATAGCAGGTAAGTGATGATTATAAAAATAAATTAAATTTGAAAATTAAAACTAGGCATTAGGAATAATAATTATTTTTCTTTTTTTGTAAGTGGCTTCAACATCAACAATCACGTGCTGCTTAGTACCCACAAATACCGAGGACGTCCAGTCACAGAATCCAATATTCAGGATTATGTCAGCGAACTGGCTACCAAGTATATACCCTCAGATCTTCCGCAATGGCAAGTGATTGTAATTCCCAACTCGGACAACACTCAACCCTATTATATACTTATCAAACTGCATCATCTGATAATTGCCGAAGAGGAAGACTTGCACGTGAGTGAGATGCTTCTCCTCCAGGATCCGCACAAGAAAACCCTGATGACTCTGAACGACGGATTGGGTCCGAGTTCGAATCAACAACTGTCTCATTTCGTACGAAAACCCGAACACATCAGCAGACTGATAAGTCACATAATGCATCTTGTCATCTGCCGTTGGCAGAAATTCATCTACGAATTTGAATCTCTCGAAACTCCCGACGGCTCTTCGTCTAGTGTTCAAGTTAAAAACCTCAGTCAGTTGGCTTCTTTGGTTTTAATTGTCCTAGTAAATGTGATTTTGGGCTTTATCAGGAGTCGTTCTGTGCTAAGGAAACTTAAAAAACGTTCAGTTACTTACCGAAACGAAGTGGGTCGCTTTCAAACAATACGTTTGCTATTGAATAAGGAGTTAGAGCAAAGAAATCTCAGTTGGTGGGTGGCCAGAACGGCCATATATCACAGCTTGCAGCCAACTAATTTGGCCAAAGTTTGGACCCGATTTCTTTGGCGCTTAAATCTCAACCATGTTTTGCTTTTACCCTATCACATTTACTGTGAGTTTTTGGCCTTTGGTGATGTCTTAATTAAAGGACAAACTTCCTATACTTCAACCTATTGTGCTAGACTTCATTTATATGTACCCCTCGTACTTTATGCCCAATTAGAGTTTTTCAAAATTCTCTGGGAGCTTTTTCAGGCCCCAAGAAACATTTACGAAGTACTTTTTGAGCAGCCCACAAAGGAGTTAAACATACTTCATAAGAAATCATATGCAGGCAGGAAAATCGTATCCTTTGGGCGTTCTTTGAATGGCGCCCAGCTTAGGAGTCGCAATCTGGGTAAATTTAATAACGATCTCAGGGAATCAGATTTTAGTTTAACTTGCCTAGCAGGCGCTGTTCACGATTACTTTGACACTTTCTCGGGAGATATGAATGTACCTAGCTTCTTAAACACCACTTGCAGGACCATAGATAAAGGGTACTTCACAGATCGCAGTGGAGATAAATCGAAAAATATTGGGGGCGTGGTCTTCCTGCAATTGCCCTTAAGAAAACCCGATGCGAATCATGTAAAAGAGTTACATCAAATTGTTGAAAGGATCAGAAAGCAACAGATCATGATATATTTAGCTTCGATTGGTCAGACAAAGTATAGCCTTCTCACATCCCTCTTACCCCATGTTATCACAAAAATTTTTATCAATTTTTTCTCGTACAACTTCCCCATCACAATCACTGAGATCTATGGAGATACGGATGAATTTCAGTCGGCTTGGGGACAAAAGGTTCAGGATGTCCTTCTCTTTCGACCTCCTCAATCAAAGACCTGCCTTTCCTTAAATCTGCATCGCTTTGGTGACAAGTATAGATTGGCTGTAATGGCGGATACTCATCTGGCACCGGATCACACAATCATAACAAGGTCGTTTGAACAATACATGGAAACAATCACTCTCTAACTAGAAATAATCTTCTCCTACTTTTTCGGGGAATGGGAATATATATTCATAACGTACACAAAAAAAAACTATTTATCCAACATTTAATTTTGTAAGAATTAATTTTTGTACTCTTCAAAAATACATATAAAATTTAACAAAATATACTAAAAATAAGTGACCATGTTTTTTCTACTTGGTTTGCGTTCTAGTACTCTTGGATTCAATTGTCATTTGAAAACATTATTTAAGTAAACTCGACGCTTGATCGATGGAGGATAAAAACAATAATTATCGAAATGAGCTGAGAGGCTATTTCTATGGGTCTAAGTATCCATCTGTAAGTCTCTTAAATAAAAACCAATTCCTTTCCAGTTTTTAATGCATTTAAAGCAGACTCTTCATGAAAACAATGATAATGGGCTGCGTGGCCATAAGGATATTGATTATCGATCGCGTCACGAAAGAAGCAGTCCTCCGAAAAATAAATCCCAGGTTTGCAAACAAGCGGGAAAATTCCAGACAAGACAGGACATCCATCGTGATTACATAAAGTGTCAGTGTCAGGATCATCAGTGCCCGCATGGACAACGCCATTATCGTGCTCAAGAGCGCTTAACCAGCAATTATTGTCACGGTGATTGTCCACAATCACACCAATACCAGGTAATAAATTTGTTTGTATCTTATTTTATTCGTTATAATAAGAAAACCAACAGAATCCTCGTCAGCAGTCGAATCCGAGGATTGTGAACGAATCCAGTCCCAGATACTCACCCAATCCACTAAATTCCAAAGTTCATTTCACTCGTAATACTCAAAACCAGGAATCGAGAATTGAAAAAAACGGAGAAGATTGTCTGCTCTACAAGAACTCTACTTTTGGAGCCCTTCCATCTAGTAAAAGTGAGCACGGGGACGGGGAGGTTGGTGAGAATAGACCCACAAACCGATGTAGCCACCAGCATCATAAGAAGGACTCCAATAGCTACCTTAAAAATGGTACATTCCAAAAACAGTTTCCCTTTTCCAGCGACGAGTCCACCTCCAAAGGATCCAAATCAAAACCATCCCAAGCTACCGTGATTAGCGCAAAAAGTGGCGACGATCTAAGGGCAGCTGTTCGTTCGCAAATTGAAATGCAAGAGGCTTTGGATGATTTGGCACTCGAAATGAAGGCTAAAAAAGAGGGTAATGCTAAATCGGTGAAAAGCCGAGTACCCAATTCCGATCCACAGACCGAGGAAGTGGTTGCAGTTGTCGGAGATCACCATTCAAATACAGTAGATCCAGATGAGCTTGATGTTGTGGATTTTAGTGTCAGTGCCGATGACATAGTCAGTGCCAAAGTAATTGATCCGATGATAAGGAAAATTCAACGCATGTATCTAAACACACTCAAGGAGGAAATGCACCTCATGGAATATTTGGAGAAGGTACCGAAGTTGGTCAGCGAAGTGTATAAGCGGGAGGCAGCTGAAAAAGAGCAGAAGAAGCACTAGGAAATACTTAAAAAATATTTTAACTTCATTTATTTTTCTTATATTTTGTATAATAATAATCCAGCAGCAACTATCACTTAAAATTGTAATAGCCTTTTGACAACGAATAATAATAAAAACATCATGAGTTTTTAAAATGTTTTAAGTGTCCCGCCATCTTTCAAATCGGCTATTATTTTACTATTTTTAACGGAGTGGCCAACTCTTCGCGTGTAGTGTTGCCACATGGTCACAAAAAAACATGTGTGTTTAGTGTTTTTTTTTATAGAAAAAGGAAATAAATTTTAGTGCTTCATAAAATTTATTCACATACATACATTGGCGCTTTAATGCTCTAAAAATATTTGGAAAACAAAATTGAAATAAAAATAGTTACAAAGGAAACATCGATAATGCCAAGTTGTTGGCTACATCGATAGTATCGCTTAAACATCGAGTTTTGTTCCAGCTCTAACGCGACGGCTTCTAGAACAAAAAAAAAATTGAATTCGCGAATTGCTGAAAACGCCGCTGCGGAAATTCTGTCAGCCGAATGAAAAGCCCTGCGGTGGAGAGTGCGGGTGAATTGCGAACGGAGCGTAAGATAAAAGGCACGAATAGCTGAGAGGCGTCACGTAGACGGCCGACTGATCGATATTCAACACAGGCGCAGGGCAGCACACACGCGCGTGTGTGTGCCACTACACACCCACACACACACATGGAGAACACTCGAGGTGGCGAAAATAACGTAGAATTGGCCAACGGCGGTAAGGATTTGGCCAAGAAGTCCCCGGAACAGGTGGAAAATGCAGTAAAACTGGAGGGTACTACACTGGAAGAATCGGGCGAAGAGCTCAAGCAGCGGGAAACCCTAGGAAACTGGATAAACAGCGAGGCGGTAGTGGAAAACAACAACGCAAATGCCCGCGGAAATGTCAGTTCAACAACTACAAGCGCAGAAGAAGCAGCAGTAGCAGCAGCAGCAACAACAAATACAAAACCTACAACAAACAGCAACACAATACCTATACAACAGCAACAAATGCAGTCAGGCGATGGGAATGCAAATAACACAACAACAACAGCAATAACAAAGCCAACAGCAGAAGAAGAAGCACCAGTAGTAGAAGTAGTAACAAATACAACAACTGCAGAGGCAGTAGCAAAAACAACAAAAACTGCCTTGGCAGAGACAACAATAACAACCACAACTACAGACGAGAAGACAGGTAAAGTAAAGCGAAATTCGCAGAAAACAAATCCAATGCCAACTAATGTGATTTACACCCCACCACCCACAGAAGAGCGCAATCACAAAAAGCAGAAGAAAAGAGATAAGGAACGGGATGACGATAAGAATCGACGCAGCAGCAGCAACAACAACAGTAGCACCAAGGATCGGGATAAGGAGAGAGAGCGAGAGCGGGAACGAGAGCGCGACAGGAACCGGGAGAGCAGCTCCAAAACCTCCAAGGAGAGCGACTACAAGTCCAGCTCATCGCGCAGCAAGGAGAAGAAGTATCATCGCAGCGATAGGGACAGAGAAAGGGAGAGAGAGCGCGATCGGGACAAGGTGAGATATGCGAACGGTTCCAGAACACCACAAAGCAAACTGCAACGGTCAGAATAACTACAAACACGGACTACGTCATTGAGAAGTCACAAAACTTTTGTTATTTGCTAGATAAATCGTTTGTTTTATATATATAATACTAATAGCTTCCCAGAACCGCGTTTTCATTTACAAGAAAACACGTAACAAGAGACGAGATCAAGTTTATTGTATACTCTGACTGCAGTCATTTGCATAGAGCTAAGTAAACCGTTTCAGTCGCTTAAAGTTTGCGCAGCTGTCCATCAATGTTAACAAAATAAACATGCGTTTAAAACTAATTTCCTTTTAAATTTGCAGATAACCTCCTCGTCATCAAGTTCCTCCTCCCACTCGCATCGTCGCCGGAGTTCCGACAGCAGCCGGAGCAGTCAAAACAGCTCCTCCAAGTCGAAGGATCCTGTGGCGGATCAGGTTCTGCCACAGGCCGTGGCAGCTGCGCTAGAGCAGCAAATTAAAGTAGAGGAGGGCATTAAAAAGGAACCTATGGAAATTAAAAAAGGAGCGGAGTCAGAACCATCACCAGTACTTAATATTCTTGTCAAAACTGAAGCGGAAATCAAAAAGGAATCGACGGTGGAGCCAGCCAAACCAATAGTAAATGGCGAGGCGGCAAACAAAACCCGAGAGGAGGTCACCAGACAACTAAACTTCGGGGACAAGAGCTCCAATTCTAAGCTTATGCCTTCGCCGGCACCGAAAACAAATTCCGGGTCAAACTCCTCCGCCAACAATCATTCCTCCAGTCAGAGCAGCAGCAACCGAAAGCCCTACACGTCGTCATCGTCCTCTTCATCCTCCAGCAACCATCACAAGAGTTCCTCGTCGTCATCCTCCCGCCACTCCTCCTCCTCTTCATCCTCATCCCGGGTCTGTTCCACGTGCTATAAGCGCTCCAAAATCCGGAGGACCAGCGTAGGCGTTCAGTGTCTGCAACATGCACCTGCAGCTGGACCGTGGCAAACAGTTCAGAGTCTGCCGCCAAAGCCAAATCGGAAACCACCAGCTGGCTTGGAGAACCTTAAGTACGGCTGCTACTTTCAGGTGGAGCAGTACCCAAATGGAGGAGCCTCCATCGTTCACCTGTATCAGCATGAAATCGATGCTTTGTCACCGGATGAAATGGAAGAGCTGGTGGACGAGTTCTTTGAGGTCTGCTTCGCCGAGGATGAACAGGGTTATGCCCACCATGTGATGGGTATTGTCCACGATGCAGCGCGGTATCTGCCCGACCTGCTCGAGCACATGGCCGAAAACTACTCAACGCTCACGGTGAAGGCGGGTGTTCTTGGTCGCAATTCGGACATCGAGACCTGCACGATGTCGCAATACAATGAGCAGGTGAGCAAATACATGTTCAACTAATGAAGCATATATTTTTGACAAAACCATTCTTCCTTAGGTGGTACGCAATTATTGTCAAGGAACATTTCGATATGGACCCCTGCATCAGATCAGTTTGGTTGGCAAAGTCCATGAAGAGGTGGGCGGCTATTTTCCTGATCTTTTGGGACGTATTGAAATGAATCCATTTCTGCGAAAGGTATTATAAATCAATAATTAATTGAAGGTGCTTGTCTAACTCAAGTTTTTCTTTCATAGACCATGCCTTGGGCTTGTAATTCCATACTTCAAACGGATCCTCGTCAATCGAACGATGGTCCCATCCTCTGGATACGGGCTGGCGAACAGTTGGTACCAACAGCAGAGCTGAATAGCAAGACCCCGCTCAAAAGGCAAAGGTGGCTATCATACGGTTGATTATTATCTAACGCTTTACTAACAAAACCATCTTTAATCCACTTAGAACTCGTATCAATGAACTGAGAAATCTACAATATCTTCCCCGACTGTCGGAGGCCCGCGAAACGATGATCGAAGATCGGACCAAGGCGCATGCTGATCATGTAGGCCACGGCCACGAGCGCATCACCACTGCTGCAGTTGGTGAGCTTATCCTGATTAATGGGCTTCTCTGAAATCAACTAACTATCGTTTCCTTGATATTTCCCGTTCCCCAGGCATTCTTAAGGCCGTGCACTGTGGCCAGACTTACTCGCAGAACCGCATCACCAAAGACGTGGTCGCTTTTGCCGCCCAGGACTTCAACACAATGGTGGAAATGCTGCAGCTGGACCTGCACGAGCCCCCGATCTCGCAGTGCGTGCAGTGGATCGAGGACGCCAAGCTGAATCAGCTACGCCGCGAGGGCGTCCGCTATGCCCGCATCCAGCTGTGCGATAATGACATATACTTTCTACCCCGCAACATAATCCACCAGTTTCGCACTGTCACGGCGGTGACGAGTGTAGGTAAGTGACGCAAGACTTGTAGTTATAGGCTTTTTAGAATATTAAAATAATATTATGTATTTTACAGCTTGGCACCTGCGCCTGCGACAGTATTATCCCGGACAGGAGGTGATCAACGAGAAGAATAACCCTGTGCTGGCCGAAACACCACACTACAAGGAGAAGCAAACGATCCTGCCCAATCCGATTAGCCACGACGAATGTGGCAAAAAGACGCCCTCCAAGCGGGCGCACGATGGCAGAGCAAAGAAAAAACTTGTTGACCTCGATGGCAAAGAGCGGCGTTCCAGCGAGAGCAGCATGGACGAACAGCCATCCGCAGGAAGTTCCTCGCCAAGTCAGAACCAGGAAAGCAACAGCAGCAGTAACAGTAGCAGTCATAGCAGCGCCAGTGGGGCTAGTACGCCCAAAAAGAAGGCAAGCAAGGATGACTCCAAAATAGATATGAGGAAAATGGTTCTGGAGCACAAATTTAAGTTGACCAAAGCGGCGGTTGTCGGGACGCAAGAGAAGGAGAAGCCCAAGAAGGATAAGGAGAAGGAAAAGTCTAGGGATAAAGAAAGGGAAAAAGACAAGGAAAAGGAGAAGGACAAGGAACGAAGGAGCGAATCAACGCCCAAAAAGCATACTACGCCAGCCAAAACCTGCTCGATAAGTGAGCCTTCACCTGCCAAAATTCCCCGCTTAGGCAATGACGCAGTTACCAATCCTCCCGCTCCTGCAGCTGTTTCTACAGCTACTCCTACAGCTGCTGTACTCAAACCTGCACCCACACCTATATCCGCTTCGGCACCACCTGTTCCAGCTCTGCCTGTAGCTGCTGCCCCATCCTTCCTGTCAGGACTGCCACCGCCACTAGTGCCTCAGACGCCGTTCATCCATCGCCTTAACCAAAAGGAGCCCGAGATCAAGATCCAAGTGAAGATCGTGTCCGATAGCAAAAGTGATATCAGTACCTCCAGTCTAGCACAATCAACAGCAGCAGTAGCACCACCTCCACCGCCACCACCAGATCCTCTTGAGGAAGTGGATGTGGGCAACGAGCTCATTGTGGAGAGCACTCCTCAATTGGTCGTTGATCACGAGGAAGAGGTAACTGAAGTGTGTGCGGAGGAGATTGTGGAAATGGATATACCGATTCCCCAGGAAGCAGCCCCCGTTGTTGCGCCTGCACCACTAACTGCTATTCCCACACAACTAACTACTGCTCCTTTACCATCCAGTCCGGCTCCCGCTCCCATACCGCTGTCTGTACTCCATCAACTACCGCTACCAATTGTAGCTGCTCCACCTCCTCCGCCACCAGCTCAAATTGTAAAGGTGGTTCTCCCAGCCTCTTTGACTCCCATCACCAGAATGTCAGTGGTTTTGCCACCCTTGCCGCCATTACCGCCTTCGCGGGCAACTGCACCACCGCCACCACCGCCGCCACCGAGCACCAACAGCAGCGGCACCACAATGCCCATAGCTGCCACAGCATCCCCGCTAAAACCCACCTACAAAACCATTAGTTTGCCCTCCCACAAGATCATCATCGCAGGCGCCACCGGAGGAAACAGAGTCTCCGTGGCAAAAGGGGCAAACAAGAGACCTGTGGACCTCTTGGGATCCATCATGGCCAGCATGGACAAGCCAGCGGGGAGTGGCTCCAATAGTAACTCCTCATCATCGACATCCTCGGCAACAACGAATAGTTCGCTCTCCTCTTACGCCAACTCCAACAATAGCTTCTGAAATTGGAAGGGGGAGTGGAAGGAGAGCGAAAGAAGAGGCTCCTTTTTGGACTTTATGTGAAACTATATATTTTGTAAGTTGAGAAGCCATTCGAGATGCCGTATAACGGATTTCGAGGAGCTAAATCGTTTTCAGATCTCTAAGCGCTTAACGAGATTTTTATACGTAAATGTATCGCTCACTTACTGCAAAACTGTCGTGGCAAAAAAATTTCAGATTTTTTTTTTTTTACAGATACGGAAATATTTGCTATTTCAGTCTTAATATATTGTATAAGAGTAAATATACAAGATTTATGAAAATAGTAAGTTATTGTTATATATTATAGCTTTTTTAAGCCACAGTAGTTTTGAAGCAGTGAGTGTAATCTCCTTCAGTGACGAGAGATCTTCCTTTGTATATAGCCAAAAGCTTATATGTAGTCCTACACCTCACATACAAACACCCCTATATTTGATAACGAAACGTAGATTTGTAAGCTCTAACTGCGAGACACTTGATAGAGATGTAGTTTTTTAATTTATTTACACCACCAACCACACAGCAGGCACTTTTTAGATACAACAATTAAACGTTTTTTAAATGCAGGCAGGTACATTTAACTGTTATAGTGTGTATTTTTTAATGGCACGCACCTTATTGGCCAGAGACACTCGTACTCGTTAAAAGTATAAATGAAAAGCCATAAGGCTTGGCAAAGGTCCCAGTTTGATTTCCTTCTCAACAACTTTTTTGAAAAGTGTTTTGAAAGTGCGTAGAACAATACACACATTGATAATTACAATATATATATACACCATATATAACTGTAGATTTAAGCCAGCTTACACGTTGAAGAAACAATAAAGATTCGGATCGTACAAAAATAAATAAAGTTGTTTTGAATAACGGAACTTTACCATCCCAATATGAAAAGCCCCACAGGAAGTACCTCTTTTTGGATTACAAATATAACATTTTAATCTCTAGATATAATACAAAACTCGTACAAAACGCGTTTGCTGGATACAGTCATAAAAACTAGGTTTAACAGATCCAAAGCCACCAAGATATTGCAACAGGGAATACAAAGCTAAGATACACCGCGTGGCTTATAGCTTGGAGCGGAGCTCCGCGATTCTTCCCTGAGCGGAACGCTGCAGGTCCATCAGCTTCATGGCAAAGCCCATGTTACCCTGGATCTTGATCTTGCCCTGGAAGAAGGCCTTTTGCGGCGGCAACTTTCCTGTCAGCAGCTCGAAGACATCCTCGTCGCTGATGATGAAGGTAACATCACATTTTTCTGTATAAGAAAAGATCATCAATAACTACGTTTTCAACTTATTATAGCTGTAATGGGAACTTACGTGTTCCATTGAAGACGATCTTTCCCTTGCCCTGTTTGGCATCGATGACCCAGAATCCGGTCTGGCCATTGGGTCCGTTGTTAACCTTGAAACCGTAAATGGCGCGAACCTTCTCGATCAGATTGTCCTTGTCCTCCTGCATTGCCTGCTCCAGAATTTTCAGTAAGGGAGCAACCTTGAAGCCTTCCTCGCTAGTCGCAGCCTTGCCGGCGGCGGTCAAATTGCGCACGATGTTGTTGGCAGCAGGGAAGCCCAGGCGGTAGAGAGCCACAACCACAGCTCCTCCCAATCCCAGATTGTGCTGCAGGGCCAACTGGGCATTGGGCACCTGGCGTTTCTCGGCCAGACCACGCAGCTGCCAGCAGAGCTCAGCACACTGGGCAAGACCAGTGGCTCCCAGAGGATGACCCTTGGAGATCAGACCGCCACTGGGGTTCACCACGAACTTGCCGCCGTAGGTGTTGTCTCCGGCATCGATGAACTCGCCGGCCTTGCCCTCTCCGCACAGTCCAAGTGCCTCATAGGTCACCAGCTCGTTGGCCGAGAAGCAATCGTGCAACTCCACCACCTGCACATCCTGGGGTTTGTAGCCACTCTTGGCAAACAAACGCTGGGTGGCCAGGCGGGTCATGTCCGTGCCAGCAATCTTCATCAGGCTCTTGTCGGCGAAAGTGGAGGCCGGATCGCTGGCCATCTCCATGCCCACGATCTCGACGGCCTGCTTCTCCAATCCATGACGACGGACGAATGCCTCGGAGGCCAGGATGGCGGCTCCGGATCCATCGGAGGTGGGACAGCACTGCAGCTTGGTCAGCACTCCCTCCACAACCTGGGGCGACTTCATAATCTGCTCCAGGGTGTACTCATCGCGGAACTGCGAGTAGCTAAGCGGAGGCAAATAGGCCAGATTAGATAAGCCATTACTGCAATGATTATAGTTAAGCCTTACGGATTGTTAACCGAGTGCTTGTGGTTCTTCCAGGCGATCTTGCCGAAGTGCTCGGGCTTGGTGCCATATTTCTGCATGTGCTCCTTGCCAGCATTGCCGAAGATCTGGGCAGCCATGGGACCAGCTCCGATCTCTGTCAGCTCACTCATCTCGGTGATGTGTCGCTCCATGGGATTGGCGCGGTCGAAATACTATTGAAATGGAAAAACTGAGTTAGTTAGGGGTTACTTAAGGACCTTATTGATATACCTTTGAGGACAGGGATCCACGCTCCATCTTCTCGAATCCCAGGGCAAGGACGCAGTCGGCGTTTCCACTCTCGACAATCTGCTTGCCCAGATACAGAGCACTGGATCCCGTGGAACAGTTGTTGTTCACGTTGTACACTGGAATGCCGGTCATTCCCACCTCGTAGATGGCCCGCTGCCCGCAGGTGGAGTCTCCATAGACGTAGCCAGCCACCGCCTGCTGCACTTCCTCGAACTTGATGCCCGCATCCTGGAGAGCTTTCGTAATGGCCTCCTTGGCGAAGTCCGGATAACACACGTCAGCACGGCGTCCGGGCTTCTCGAACTGCAGGAAAGGGTTTTTAATGGTAGATTATCAGAGATTAGCATTGGCAACCAAAAATGCAGATTATAAATACAATTGTAATCGCGCCACTTCAGGGGGCCAAAGGCGCGATACTGATAGCCACAATTATAATAATGATAATGATGTGTTGCCACAAACATTCGAGAGCAGATTAGCGAGCGAAGTGCACCCAGTTCAAAGTCCGTTAATTGTTAAATATTGCTCAATATTGAAGTTACTTGCGAATTCGCAAAGCTGCTCTTTAAAGTCTTTGTTTTGGTTTTTATGTTTTTTTCCTCCATTGTTGCTAATTATTCTCGGGGTCTTTGGGATACATACCTTGGTCATGCCCACACCGACAACATAAACGCGATTCTTCGTCATTTTGTAGATATATAAATCGTAAATAAAACAGGTAATACCGCAACTAGTGCTTAAGAGCGATTAATTAAATTTTAGTCGGGGCTACAAGCTGTGCGTAGTGAGACCAGACTACCATTAATTAGTAATAACCCGATAACGGGTTCTCAAACGGGGGGCGCGTCTTTTAAAAAAATACGGCAGCCCTGGAAAACAAAATACCATAGCATGCAGCCCTGCTATCAGTGCTGATTTTTTTTAACGACTTATATAAATTCCAAATTTATAGCTTTAATTAATATTAAATTTAATTATATTATATTTTTTTTATACTTCAATTTATATTTCATTTTAATAAGTTCACTTTGTATTGTTATTAAATAACATAAAACTAGCCAAAAATGTTATTTGACGAAAAACTAGCTAAGCCGTCAGATCTGTTGTTATCATATCGCTTCGTATATAAACCGGCAACCTGTTGATCCACCTCAGTCGATATAGAAAGTTCGATCCGCAATCACGCAGAAACAAACAGCCGAAAAATGACCAAGACCAGAGTTTACGTTATCGGAGTGGGCATGACCAAGGTTCGCCTGCAGAAGATTGACCTTTGTGCCGCCTTGGACTTAATCATCCATCTGTTGTTCTATTTTCTATCTATTCCGGCAGTTCGAGAAACCCGGTCGCCGAGCGGATGTTTGCTATCCGGACTTCGCCAAGGAGGCCATTACGAAAGCTCTCCAGGATGCGGGCATCAAGTTCGAGGAAGTGCAGCAGGCGGTGGCTGGCTACGTCTATGGAGACTCCACCTGCGGACAGCGGGCCATTTACGACGTGGGAATGACCGGCATTCCGGTGTACAACGTGAACAACAACTGCTCCACGGGATCCAGTGCTCTGTATCTGGGCAAGCAGATTGTCGAGAGTGGAAACGCCGACTGCGTCCTTGCCCTGGGATTCGAGAAGATGGAGCGTGGATCCCTGTCCTCAAAGGTATGCCAATAAGGCCCTTAAGTAACTCCTAACTAACTCAGTTTTTCCATCTCAATAGTATTTCGACCGCGCTAATCCCATGGAGCGACACATCACCGAGATGAGTGAGCTGACAGAGATCGGAGCTGGTCCCATGGCTGCCCAGATCTTCGGCAATGCTGGCAAGGAGCACATGCAGAAATATGGCACCAAGCCCGAGCACTTTGGCAAGATCGCCTGGAAGAACCACAAGCACTCGGTTAACAATCCGTAAGTACGGTCGAAAGTTCACCTCACTCGATCGCTTATCTTATCGCTGGCAGCAGGGAAATAAGTAGACCAAGCTATAGACCATCATACTCTTTAAAGGCTGTAAGCAGCTGATCCGCACATGCTTTGTTTTTATCTGTTCTCATTTATTGCTTTTAGCTACTCGCAGTTCCGCGATGAGTACACTCTGGAGCAGATTATGAAGTCGCCCCAGGTTGTGGAGGGAGTGCTGACCAAGCTGCAGTGCTGTCCCACCTCCGATGGATCCGGAGCCGCCATCCTGGCCTCCGAGGCATTCGTCCGTCGTCATGGATTGGAGAAGCAGGCCGTCGAGATCGTGGGCATGGAGATGGCCAGCGATCCGGCCTCCACTTTCGCCGACAAGAGCCTGATGAAGATTGCTGGCACGGACATGACCCGCCTGGCCACCCAGCGCTTGTTTGCCAAGAGTGGCTACAAACCCCAGGATGTGCAGGTGGTGGAGTTGCACGATTGCTTCTCGGCCAACGAGCTGGTGACCTATGAGGCACTTGGACTATGCGGAGAGGGCAAGGCCGGCGAGTTCATCGATGCCGGCGACAACACCTACGGCGGCAAGTTCGTGGTGAACCCCAGTGGCGGTCTGATCTCCAAGGGTCATCCTCTGGGAGCCACTGGTCTTGCCCAGTGTGCTGAGCTCTGCTGGCAGCTGCGTGGTCTGGCCGAGAAACGCCAGGTGCCCAATGCCCAGTTGGCCCTGCAGCACAATCTGGGATTGGGAGGAGCTGTGGTGGTGGCTCTCTACCGCCTGGGCTTCCCGGGTGCCTCCAAGGCAAAGTTGTAAAGGGTGGGAACTGAATTTTTGTATATATTTTTATTAAAAAAATAATGTTTTTAAGCGGTCTTGTTTGATTTTTAATAAGATAAATTAAGGGTTTCAGTAACCGATCTTTTCTGGTTTTTAAAACACAAAGAAGTTTGACATTATATTTTCCTAATACTCAATTTCGTGTCACTGTTAATGCTTTAAATTATTTAATCTGATCTGATTCAACATTGAAAATAATCTACACATTCCAGAGCAGAGCAGTTAATCTTAATCTAAAAGTTAATCTAAACTAGTTTTATTTTCGTTTCAGCTTTGGAGTAGATTTAGGCTTTCCTCTCCTACAAAGTCGGATTAATCCGACTAGGATGAACACAGGCAGCAGGAGGATTAGGACCACCACCAAGTACACATCCAAGGAGTAGTATACGAAACGGGAGAGATGTACTGCACTTGGTTGGGTCAGAGGAGCTCCCTTCGTCTCCGCCACATGTTCCACCCACCAGATGGCCGTCTCCAAAGGATCCTGGATGCGATTGTTGTAGGCCGAGGCCACCTCCTTAGCTCTTTCCTTAAAAGAGGGATCCAGTGCCTTGGTCAGCGCTTCAAAGACCGTATTCTCATCAAGTTTCTTGAACTCCAGCTGCAGAGCCATTCCTCGGTGAACCAATGCGGCAATGTTGAGCGACTGATCGCCGTAAATGGGCACACCCACAATGGGCACTGCACTGGACACCGCCTCCGTGGTGCCCATCAATCCACCGTGGGACATAAATACCCTTAGATTCGGATGGGCGAGGATGTCACGCTGAGGAAGCCACTTCCTGATATGCAGATTTGCAGGCTTATTTGGTAGTGAGTCGTTTTCATACTTCCAGATCACCTGCTGCTCCAATCTCCCCAGGGCACGAACTATGCCATCTCTTCGGGCAGCGGGAAGGGAACTCATCTTAAGCTGAGAGCCCCAGCTAATGAGAATGACTCCTTGGGAGGCATTATCCAGTATTTGCTGCAGATCTGAGGGTAGAGGTTCAGGTGGCCTAATGTGCACACCTCCGACTTCTATGACATTTGGTGGCAGTGGTTTTGGACCACTCAGCGAGAAATGCTGATTGACCAGCATCAATGAGGTATTCCTGACCATATCTTCAGTGGAGGGCAAGCCGGGACCGAATCTCTGGCGGATCAAGGCATCGGCAGCGGGAACTGTAAAGATTCTAGAGAAGGTAAGGAATTTATTTGGTATAATTAACTAAGTTGCATTTAACACTTAAATATTTATATAAAAAAATACTTACTTGTACAGCAAATTGAGCGAGTGCACGGTAATCCAGTTACCGAGTCTACCCGCCAAGGACATCTCCTGCGATTGTCCCTGGAACAGAGCTGAGATGTAGGACGGGATCAGTGGAGCACCCAATCGCTCGTAGTGCCAGGGCATCAGGGCACAACTGCTCATGCCAATAACCGGTGCTTGGAGCACATGGGCCACGCCCATCGCACAGTCGGTATTGAATTGCTCCTGCAGGATGACATCGTAGTAACCAGGTGGATTCTTCAGGATCTCAGATAGGGCTGCGCTGTGTAGGGTGGTGTTACAGTCCTCCTTGCCCATGTTGTACAGGATGAAGTACTCGATGTAGTGAAATAGGTATTGGAAAGGGCGCTCGAAGACCTGTTTAAAAGACTCAAAAAGTGTTTTTTTTTAATAATATATTTTTATACTTCGTTAAATGGTTATTTTGACTTAAATCTGATGATATAAAACTATAAATATTTGCTTCCTTTTTTGTTTAGAACTTGCACTATTTAATAATAATAATATTTAGCAATATTTTCTCCATCACCTCCAAAACTCACCTCCAAATGAATAGTGTCCGTCAGTGTGGAGGGCGGCAGTAGATAATCCTTATAGCCTTTTGGCGGATCCTTGTCCTCGAATGGGCTGATGACGTCCACACTGTGACCAGCTTCGGCTAGTCCACGCATAATCGGGTGAAAGAACTTAAAGTGGCTCATGGCTGGATGCGGAAACAGGCCCAGGATACGCAGGGAATCGCTGGAAACCACCAGAGAAAGTAGTGCCAGCAGGCAGAAACCCTTCCCAACACACATATTGCTGCAAAACGAGGCGGATGGGTCAAGTTCAAGTCAAGTCAGCTTGACATGCTTTTATGAAATTGATTTTTATTATAGGAATTTTTACTTTGGTACGCTTGTTTGTGTGGCATGCACTTCTATATTTAACTTATGAAAATGTGTAATTTGTCTTTTTTATGTGTAATTAGCAAAACAAAAAAAAAATTATCACCGGCGTTTGTCTTTCCCGAGATGAGAGATCCGGATCGGTCGAAAGATGAGCATCAACTGACACGGACGAGTACGGTAAGAGCTCAAGTAGCCGGCGACAACATGCATATATTTATATATATTCGTACTTACATAAAATAAACTAATTTTCTAGCTAGCTTAAGAGAAGCACTCATGTTGAATTTAAAAATAACACTCTTAGAATGCATATACTTAAAAGAGTGGAGACACACTAGAAGCTTATGATGTTTGAGTTTATTAAAGTATTAATATCTTTTCTTTTCAGCAAATTTTTTATTTCGATATCGCTTCTTACTTTTTTTTTGTAAATGAAAAAAAGAGAAAAAAAAAAAAATATTGCACATTATAATGCGCTGTATATGTTTTGGTCAAATAGGAAGCTATAAAAGATAAAACTAATTTTTTTATATATTTTATGACTTTTATTTCAATTATGCAAAACCTTTGAAAAAGAATATTATTCTATCCCCTAAAGTATGCAAAAATAATAAATAAACTTATTGTGATTTTATTTTAAAGTCTGACCAGAAAAAATTGTCTTTTGTGCACTAATAATATTTTAGTTATTCCCGAAATGGAAAAACGTTTGATTATAAACGGGTAATTACCAATTGTATTAAACATTATATTTAATTTGGCGTCACTAAAATTACATCTAGTTGAAGTCCTTGAGAGGAGGCGTCTTTACATTTAAAAGTCTCTTACACAGAACATATAAAATATCACATACACCACAAACGAAGCGGCGACGGGATGAGCCCAGCTAATCCCTCTTGGTTTTGCCAGCCGAACTGGATCCGCAGCAGAGTCGCAGGAGCCACACCCAGCTGGCAACAATGCTGGCCAGGATAAGGGCCAACACGGCATAGCAGTCCAGGGAGTAGTAGACGAACCGGGACATCTGAACGGCACTGGGTTTCAGGAGCGGAGCTCCGCCCGTGTGAGCCACGTGCTCCACCCACCAAATAGCGGATTGCAGGGCCTGCTGTGGGCGGTGGTTGAACGAGTGGGAGACGACCTTGGCGGCATCGTAGTACCTGAAGGGTGGAGAAAGATAAGGGTAAGATTGCGGTAAGATTAGGGTAAGATTAGGTAATACAACTTTAAAATGGGCTACTCACTTCTTGTCCAATGCCTTTTTCAAGGCCCTCATCACTGTGTTCTCTCCAATGTCCTCGAAATTCAGGATGGTTCCCATGCCGCGTTGCACTAAGGCGGCTGTATTAACGAACTGATCGCCATACATGGGCGTGGCCACCACTGGAACTCCACAATAGGCTGCCTCCGAGGTGCCCATTAGACCACCATGGGACATGAAGACCTTTACATTCGGATGACAGAGGATATCACGTTGCGGCAGCCACTTCATTATGTGCATATTGGGTGGCTGATTTGGCAGCGTGTCGTTCTCCCATTTCCAGATCACCTTCTGCTTCAATCGAGCCACAGCCCGTACAATGCCATCCCTTTTGGCGGCCGAGAGGGAATTGGCACGGATCATGGAGCCCCAGCTGATCAGGATCACTCCTTCCTCCGCGTTGTCCAAAATGCGCTGAAGATCAGCAGGCAGAGGTTTCGATTTCTGGATGTGTATGCCACCCAACTCGATGACATTGGGGGGCATTGGCTTGGGTCCCGACAGCGAATAGTGCTGGTTGACAAAGAACACGGATGTGTTCTTCACCAGCTCTCCCACCGAAGGAGTGTCGTGGCCAAATTTGTATTGCACCAGTGCATCGGCAGCGGGTATAGATAGCAATCTGTCGGAATTAAAAAAAAAAAAACAATTAATTAAAATATTCAGCCCTTGAGAACATAATTAAAGACTTCACTCACTTGTACATCCAGTTCAAGGCATGGGTGCTAAACCAATTGGCCAGACGACCGCCAAAGTCCATGTCCTGCGACTGGGCCATGAAAAGTGCTGGCACATGGGAGGGTATCAAAGGAGCTCCCATTCTCTCGTAGTGCCAGGGCATCATCACACAGCTGCTTAAGGCAATCACCGGCGCCTTGAGCTGGTGAGCCACGCCCATCATACAGTCCGTATTGAACTGCTCCATAATAATGACATCAAATCTCTGGCGAACCTTGAGGATCTGCTGCAGTGCCTCCGAACGGAGGGTCAAATTGCAGGCCTGTTTGCCCCACTCGTGCAGCAGGAAAAACTCCACAAAGTGGTTATAGAATGTCCGCTTCTCAAACATCTACAGATATAAATTAAAAATGTAATAGAGTAAAGTTATTATAGTGAAGGTAATCAATAATAATAATATTAAAAGTCGTAAAACAAATGTTTGTTTAATGTACACTTTAACAGTGTATATATGTATATTACTCTGATTTACGACTGCTGTGTTAATACAATAGGTAATAAGAAAATAAAATTCATAGGTAATTTAAGTTTTTACAATAGTTCGATTTCTGAACCACCCACCTAAAGGGGGATCCACTCTGCTTACCTTCAGATCCACACTGTTCGTGAGCTTGTCTATCCCGGTTAGGGGGAAATCCTTGTAGCGGGCGACCGGATGCTTGTCCGGGAAATGGGAAACCACACTGACGTCATGTCCCACCTCGGCCAGGCCCCGCATGATGGGGTGGAAGAAGTGGAAGTGGCTGACCCCGGGATGGGGGAAGAGGCCCAGTACCTTCAACGGACCAGCGGCCTCCACCAACTCATCCGGTTGGCTGAAGGCCAGGGTCAGGAAGGCTAAAACGACCAGCGGCGACCACATTGCACTCTCTAAAAAGAAAAATATATATTTAAATTACATCTAAATTAAAACAGAACAAAATAAAAGAAAGGGAAAATTTAAATTTTGATATAAAAATGTAAGATATGCAACAGAGTTAAATAGAATTATAAATTTTGCAGGAAAATGTAAAATAAGAATTTCTTAGATAGATTGGTTAAATGGATTTTTCTTCATTAAATAAATATTCATTAAGGCTTGTAATAATCTACCAAGCACTTTTAAAAAGTGTATTTTTATATGTCGGTAAGTAATTAATTTATGATCCGAATTTTTAGGTACATAAGATTACAATAAACCTTATCCGAAAATTCAGATAAGTACTACTGATGTTAAATTGTGGCTGTCGAATTTGTTACAAGACTTCCTTGGATCACAGTATTCCCTGGCATTCTTCGAGCACCGGTTGCCGAAACACTTGTTGACTCTTGGGTTTCTTGGTTTTGCATTATTTTCGTTCGACCTTGGATGGGGCGGTGGACGGCAATGCGCATGTCGCGAATGCGAGAAATGCAGGGAAATTATGTAAAGAATGCAGGCGAAAGCACCAAAGGAAAACACAAGCACAACAAAAGCCACGGCAATTGCATCACAATTCACACTGCTCTCGGTAATAAATTCACAATTATTGCCTTTTGAGGGGCATTTCCTCCGAAATGCAATTGAACCGCTGAACTGGATACACACACAAAATATCCAAATGCCGAACCGACAGTTTCGAACATAAATCCTGTTTTAGTCAAGGTTCCACACTTACTTACTTGTTCGACTGTCGACGAGCGACTGACTAAATTCAGAGAAATGCAGCCGAATGGAAAGCTTTTCGGTCAACGCTCGACAAAGAGCAGCAATCCCCCAACGGCCAAAATTGCTCAGTCAGCGATCGGAAATCAATCTCAGTCTTCGGCAGTGTTGCTACTCTGGCTTTTTTCAAGCCAAGCTTGGAAATGAAGTTCCATTTATCAAACCCGCTGTATTTTACAATCTTATATTATAGTTGAGACATGATTATTTAATTTCTTTAATTATACTTCATATTAAAACCAACAAAACCTTGTATTTATAATTCTGGTAGGGTTTAATTTAAAATTTAATTTTAATTTAATTTACAAAAATTGATTTCTGGTTAAAAACAAAAATTAAAAAAAAAAAACATTTACCATGGGATTTATAAGGCCCTCGGAATTATTATTCAGACTATAACGTTTATTTACATATTCATTTGTTTTATTTTAGAATCAGTTGTTTCCACACCCAAGAAATGACTTTGAATTACAATACGTTTAGATGGTTAGCTAATACTACCATCGCCCTAACCATTTCATTTTCACCTTGTGTTTTGCTTAAGGCATTGTTTAAGATACCCTTTTGAATCTTAGCTATTTTTTGTTAATTTTACTTGGTTTTTGACATCACCGATCTTTGTCCGAAGCTTTTTTCGGCCTCCCGATCTGACTGACTCTCTCACAAGGAAAGCTAGAGGGTGTTCTACGTAGCGAGTGAGGTTTTTAGAAAGATAATGGGAGAGTGTAGAATACTTGCCCTTGTGCACGAGACCTAACAAACGGCAGTAGAAAGTCAATTAAGCAACCGAATCAACAGACGAGTCTGGCAATTGTTTATCACGATACGCTCACATGTTTGCTTCAAGGCGTCCCGGGTGTTTACGTTTAATTGATACGGGCTTGTTTTCGGCGTTTCGAAACAAATACGGAAAGTCAAGTATTTGCGATGACGATTCAATATTTTTTGGAAATGCGGTACACGCGTTAGTAAACTTATCTACAAAAATAATTAGAATTTAAATTTAATCTCATTAGTAGAAAGTAACGATAGTTAGTTTGCAAAAAATTCTTCCCATATCAATTTTGTATTTGTCATTTTTTAAAATATCAGCGGTTTTATAGAGTGTTCAATGTTCAAGACGTTAATGACACTCTTGATTGAGCTGATAATATAATTTAAAAAGTGAAAGCAGTTTTCAGTATAAGTTTTGGTTGATTGAACTTTTCGTTCACAAAAGCTCCCTTATGTAATTTTAATTATACATAAACATTCAAATTATTTATACATCGACCACACAGATTTCTATGAATTATTTAAACAAATTATTGCCTATCATGATATATTAATGGGTATTAATTAAATGCTTAGGGGCTTGATATGCTTTTGATTCCAATATTTAATATTTTATGGAGTGTTCCATTTTCATTGACACACTAACAAAACGCATTGAATTATGTTTTTAAATGTTTCAAAACATGTAAACACTGTCCGTATTAAAATGTTTCGTTTTTCAAATTATCATCTGTCTAATTAAAATTGAAACTTGTTTTTGTTGTAAGCGTATTTAGTTCATTGAACTAATAATTTATTGTTGCTTTGTTTTAGTATCTCTTGAGGTTTTTCCCCGACCGAAAACTGATCTGATTCCCCTAATGAGCTTCCAGAGGGCGACGATCAGTAGACATATGACTCCCAGCCAGAACATGTAAACATCGATCGAGTTGTAGACGATCCAGTTGATATGTCTGGCTTCACTTTGGATGAGAGGGGCTCCCCCCGATTTTATCACATGCTCGATCCACCAGATAGCCAATTCGAGAGGGGGAATTGCCCGCTCGCGAAAGGCTTCAGTAGACCGACGAACATTATCCGCAAATCTGTAAAAAAATTTAATTTTATTCAAGATAAGTATTTCTTCAAAAGAAACTCTTACTTTTGATCGAGTATAATTCGCAGTCCCCTAGTTATGTGATCAGTATCGAAATCACTGAAATCAACGATGACTCCAAAGCCCCGCTGTTTCATGGCACCGGCATTAAGAAATTGATCTCCATAGAAAGGTGTCACCAGCATGGGAACTCCACAATGAACCGCCTCCGTGGTGCCCAAAAGTCCTCCATGCGATATAAAACCCTTGACCTTCGGATGACACAACAAATCTCTTTGGGGCAACCAGTCAAAGGTGTAAAGATTCGAGGGTTTATCTTTTGGCAGAGATTTATCACCTTTCCAGCGCATCACAAAGTTGTATTCTTTCAGCTGGGAAATGCTCCGGAAAAGCGCATTTCTTTTGGCTGAGGGTAGTGTACTGGTGTTGACCATGGATCCCCAACTGATATAGATGATTCCATTGGTAGAGCGATCCAACAGATCTAAGAGATGCTGGAACGAGATTAAAAATGGTTTATTTAACACAAGAAAGATTTAAGTATTTCGAGAATTTTTGAATACTTTTGTTAAATGTCTGATCTAAAAATAGATTAACACATATACTTTGATAATTCTGAGAAATCCTCAAAGTGTTGATATTTATTTCGGGATGGCAGTGTCAAAAGCCTTTTAAAAATTGCTTCGAATATTTCGCCAGCACGCATTTATCTGATAACGACGCATGCTTTTGAATGTTGACCTAAATAATGAAACGTAAAACATTTGCCAATCTTATTGAAATGCCTCAGTGTGTCTTTAATATATTTTGTTTGTTTTAAATTCCCACCGATTAATGGATTAAAAGGGGCTAATCTGTAGAGAAACGGAATTTGCTCATTAGTCGATTTAAGATGCACATATTTATAGCTACTTAATCGCAAAAAGATTTAACATTTTGCCAGTATTATCTTTTTTTTATGTTGACTTTATTTTTGTTTGATTAATGATTAAAAATTACTGCGTATACAGAGTTTGGTGACCTACAGATAAACGGTTTATGATTACTAAGCACAAATACAGCCAAAATTTTGTGAATAAAGAAAATGGAATTTACTAAGGGAATTTATTTTCCATTTGCTTTGGGCCTAACTTGATAATTCTTTTTTTTCTAGTTACAAATAAAATGTACTTACTCGTGACAATGGTTTTAATGGTCCCACTTGCAGCCCGCCCACTTCCACCACATTCGGAGCATAGGGGCGTGGTCCGGTTAGGGCATAGTACTGATTGATAATCATGAGACTCGTATTCTTCACGATCTCATTGATGGGTGGCAATCCGGGTCCGAATCTCTGAGCGATCAGTGCATCGGTAGCTGGTTGGGTAATCAAACTGTTCAAGGTAAAAACAGTCGATAAGATTTATTCTGAAAGGCAGAACAAGAAATACCCACTTGTAAAGTGTGTTCACAGTGTGAAAATGGAAGAAATTATTCAGCCGATCGATCAGACCCATGTCATCTGTGTAGGGCAGGAAGTTCATGGGCATGATGGGGTTAATGAACGGACTGCCCATTCGTTTGTAGTGCCATGGCATTATTGCACAGCTACTCAAGGCAATCACAGGTGCTTTCAGCAGGTGAGCCACCGCTGCCATGCAGTCGTTGGAGAAATTCTCCAGGATTATTACATCATAGCGAATGGGCGATTCCAGCAGCTGGGCGATGAGCGGGGAATTTAAGGCAACCTGACAGGAACGCAGGCCCCAATCGTTGAGCATAAAATACGTGGGCACCTTGAAGGGCAGTCCCAATGGCTTCCATTCCGATTCAAAATTCTGTAGGAAATAATATATTTTTATTTATACATTTCTATTAACTAATTTAAATTTACTTTTAAGTCCACAATATCGGTGAGCAGGGGCATTCCCTGGAAGACGTAGTCCGTGTAGTTGGCCACTGGTTTCTCCAGTGGAAAATAGCTATACATGCTGATGCTGTGACCCCTTTCCGCCAAGGCCAAAAACATTGGTCTAAAGAAGTCAAAGTGACTCTTGCCGGGATGTTGAAACAAGCCCAGTATTTGAGCCGCTTCAGTGGATTTCGTTCCCAAGGAAAAGGTCAGCAAAAACAGAGGTAGCAGCAGCATTGCAGCTTCTAACAATGAACTTAGAGCTAGCCAAGATTCTTTGCTTATTTAACCGTAACTTGTAGTTGTAGAAAGAAAACATTAGGCCATAGTTTTATGTTTAATTTTAATAAACAGAAAAGAATAAAAATAATAATTCTGTTTCTTCGATTCTGTGTCTTCGGTCGAACTGATCGTGTTTTTAATATTGCACAAAAGGTATGAAAATCTTTATTTAAGCCTCATCTTGTCTGTATTTTAAAAGGGGGTTATGTAGTATTAGTAGTAGTATCGTTATTATAAATCAAATTAAAATGATTGAAAATACCAAGTTCACAGCCAGTTCTGTTGTCGGCACAAACAATCGAAGTTAGCCAGGGGAAACTAAAGGTTGATTTTGCTTTCTGTGCTGCAGATACTTATCTGCAGCGTTGCTTAGCTGCACTTGCAGCTTAAACGTTTTTATCCGAGAATATGCTAAGATCGTGACCGGAATCTGACTGGCAATTGTTGAATGGACAGACCTTTAAGCGACGTATTTCTCAATTATGAGGTGTCCACCCAATTATTTAACTATAGACTGTGGCTGAAATTTTTTTTTTTAATTTTTGGCAATTACAAGTTTTGTTTAGTTGCAGTAGCTTGACTTTGATCTTTGCTCACTATTAATTGAATGGTCTTAAACTATAATTTGAACTGTGTTTTTTTAGAATGGTTTTGCATTCTGAAACTTGTTTTATGTTTTCAAATTGCCTGCAATGTTTGATCTCGTTTAGTTTTCATTTTGTTGCAACCCATTCTTAGCTTTTGCACTGGTTCCTTACTATGGATGGTTTCTTTGTTTAAATACTGCAACATGGTTTGTTTTAATTATAGTTTCTCTATTAACAACTTGATGCAGTCACTTTCAAGTATGTTTGATATAAATTTGGTTTCAAGAGGCTTGAAATGTTTTTAAAACAAATACCTCTTGACTTCCTATTTAATTAGAATATGCAACTTCTCACAGCCACGATCCGTGATCGACTAAAAGCCAAGGCAACGGCGACTCAGAGCCAACTTGGCTAACAGCAATTGCATTGTTGCATTTTCCTACTTCTAGCCGGCGCTGAATTTTCCGATATATACGCTTAACCCCAACAATACGTAACATACTGCCCGCAAGTCATGAGCAATTTGAGGTAGGCCATTAGATTGCCAAATCAAGGGGCATATGCCATTTGGGAAGGGAGAGGAAATCATACATATAGAGGACCGACTGAATATGCAGATTATATAATCGAAATTACAAGTACAATGACTGGAGGGGACTTTATTTCTAGTAATAAGATTTAATGGCAAGAACAATGGAATAAGCTATACAGATTTATTACGTGATTTTGGATGACTAACATTTAGCTTTAACGAGTTTACAGTTGTTACATATATCGGTTTATAATCTTCTTATTCTCACCTTAGTTAATTCGTGATTTAAATATTAATTAATTATTTATAATCGCAACATTACTTGCTTAAAAGATAGCAGAATACATATTATGACATTAAACGTAAACAAGATTATTATGGCATTAATAATCAATACTCATAAATAAATATATTTTTTTCTTCAAAAACTTCTTTGAAGTTCATGGCAAAATTTGTGTATTTCATTTCAACAGATACCTTACATTTTTTTTACACATCTGTAAAATTACTTGACACATTAAAAGATACACTTTTTACGTAGCATATTTTTAGAGGTTCTGTTTACACTGCAGTTTGAAAATATTGGGCATCCTTCTAACTGAAAAATAAATAAAAATTCTGAAATATAAATGATTTAGATAGAGAAAATGCGAAACAAATTGTAGGAACAAAAATTTATTATGACCACTTTCTTCTTCACTTAAATTTTCAGAAACCTTCTGTTACCAACAATCTGGAGCAATCTTATTATACTTTACGGACAATCTGCAAACGCCGACAGTCGTCAGAGATTCGATATGCTCTGTTTATTCGGGACTTCGTCACTTGCCTCTCAGTACTTGGAGCTTGCTAATTAAAATTCACTTTGACAATAACCGTAATTCTTGAGATACTAATTTCAAAATGTTGCACCATATAAAATATCTTCCAAATGGTCTCAGTTCAACTTCCGTTTGAAGGAAGGTCGTTAAAATTTAGGGAAAATAATAAGCAAAAATTTTCACGTCTCGCCTAATTAGCGCAGCAGTCACAACAAAAACAAAGTCAAAGCTACTGGACGCTGTCAACAGCTGCATGGGGTGGTGGAAAATCGGGATGAGGGGGTGGGTTTTCCCAGGAAGTGTTCCGTTTTAATATTTGCGTCACGTCATTAAAAGTGTGACTTAATTGTGATCGTTTCACAAGTGAAAAGTTAGAATTTACGACAGATTATCAAATCAAGTGTGAATGGCAGAGGAAAACTCGAGACGCTACCAATTTTTCCGGGCAGCATCCGCAGCTGTTTCCACTCCCTTACCAGTTTTCCTCAAGGTGTTGCCAAATCGATAAGAATCAGGGCAGCGGGCGGAAAAATCGCACTTGCTGAAAAAGAATTTACCCGGTGTCAATTTATTTTAACGTTCTCATACTTAAGCTTTTGACTTCCCCGCTTTTCCCACTCTATAACCCGGTCATTTATTTCGTATTGGCAATAAAATGGAATTTAAAATGATAGGAAATCTTATTGAAAATTCTCAGATAAGCTGGAAAAAAAGGGTTGTCCATGGGGGCGGCGCGTGTCCGTTTCAAATTGTGGGCGGGGCATGTGGCATTTTCCAGTCATTTACATTTAATAGAAGCGCATGAAAAGATAAGCGTGTGTGTAGTGTGTGAAATTTATAACAAATCAATAAAATGACAATAGGTGCAAACTTTATCGACACGCCACTGCAAAAAAAGGGGCGGGGCTGAAAAGGGGATTTTGGCGAACGTCGTTCTATTCACATTGTCTGAAAATGAAACTCCAGGGTAGGTGGTTAAAAGGTGGCTGAAGACCAAACGAAAGTTTTCGATAAACAATTTTTCGCACGGAAGTGCAATTTAAAGTGAAGTATTCAGATACCCGTGTCCGTTTTTCTTTGCAAATGCGGAAATTATACAGAGAAAGTTTCTAATACATTTGTTACCGCCAATCAATCGCTATGTCGTCTTTCTTCTGGAAAAAAGGGTTTGGGTTTGGGGGTTTGTCTGGGCATTCAAGGAAAAACTTTACCGTGAGATAGTTAAAAACAAAACTTAAAGTTTTGAAAAGAAGGGTACACATTTTTATATAAACATTTGTTTAAAGAAAAAATGTTTCCTACGTATATACGTCTACATACATGTTGACAAAAGTTTTCTTTCCAATAAAGTAGAGTTTTATAATTCTGTTTGCTCTTTAAATTGGCTAAATTGAAACCCACACTTATACAAAGTCTAATCACTTCCTTAATAGCTCTAATCAAATGTCTAAACAGCTTAAAATATCCTTATCAATGGTAGTAAGACTAATCGACTGCTTAATCCAATAACCATATCAGAATAAAGTATCTCACAAGTTCACGCACAATTTGAAGGCGTGAACATTGCGTGCGTGCTTATCTTCTCATCACCTAAAGTTTCAAGACTTTTCCCTCATAAGTTTTCCTCTTTCCAGTACATTTTTCCTACGGTACCCATCGCATACTTACAGGTGTCTTTATTTGACAGGCCAAACTATTTATTGCCATGTCACGTGATCTATAAACCTGACGCCAACCGAAGACAGCCCCTGAAATTCCTCCAACCACCACAATTTAACATGTGATTTAAGCCGCTTACTAAGAAATTTTTTCAGTAAGTCGCGTCTTCGTGCCTTTTCGAATAAATCGATTAACAAACAACTTTGGAGGCAGCCATGCCCCACGGAATATGTGTGCTGTAGCTATTTCCGTGACAGTAATCAATTTATTTTTGGCAGTGCGCCGATTGCGTTTCCGCTCCAAGAACATGGACGAACCTGAAGTCTGATCCCCTGCAATTTTTCCACCAACCTCTTTCTGCTTTTCCGAACCCCCTTTCCCGTCCTTTTCCGCCAGCGAAAACTCTCTCTTGTCTGCTCGGGAAAACGTTTCATTTCGTTTTGGCTTTTGGCACAGCGATTTCCGCAAAAATGTCGATAAATCATCAAAACGAAATAGTCAGAGGAAAAGCAGAAAAAAAGTGATTCACTGAGAAAATTAATTAAATATTTATTACCATAAAAATTTACCCAGCATAAATTTTTTAATTACGATGAAACCATAAAAAAAAGATTTTTAAGTTTGTGTAACTTTAAGTTTTAAAAAATTAAATCCTTTTTTTTCTGTTTCAGTTAATTTACTTTTATTTTCTCACATTTCAGTAAAACTACTATTTTCTTTAAAAGAGCTTTTACTTTGTAAATTACAAGGGTAGTCAATCATTCTTTGAAAACAACTTATTTTAATTTCTTTTTGGTATTTCTGTAAATCTTTTGTTGATTAATTTTCAAAGTTTTTTTTCCTGTTTATACGATGAATGAAAATAGTACCTTTCTGGCTGTTGGCGTGATAGATAAGTTGACAGCCGCATTGAAGGGTTATCGTGGCTGTCTCTTAATCAATCTTCCTCCGTTGCCGTCTTCATCTTCTTGGCAATTAATTAATTTGCAACAAAGTTGGGGGCACGTGTCCAGGACACGGCGTATTAAAGGACTTAAGAAGAGGATCGCACACGATACTTACTTTCTTTAAAAATGTTAGGGATGTGGGACCGCCAAGATTGCTGTCCATTTTGACGCAACGGGAAGTCCTTTTAGGGTCAAGTGCTGGAATTGATGTTTCGTTTATGATTTATCGTCACTTACTGCCGCGTCATGGGCAATCCTGCCATTGCCCCACCCCCTGCTAATGGTCGACATATTGCAAAAACAGAAGCTAAAACTAAATTAGACATAATTCTCTGGCCTGAGGGGGTGGCGAATAGGTCGTTTCAGATAAGTCGTCATGCTGTCATAATCATCACAAGACAGCATCCATCCATCGCCCAGTTTGCAACGCCCACAAGTATCGTAACCCTCTGAACCTCTGACCCCCCAGAACTCCCTTTTCCTTTTCCTCCGTCTGGAGTTTACTGATGTAATAACCATGTTTTCAGCTTGTAATGCGGCAGGGCCACAAAAACACTGTTGGCGGGGGTGGAAGTCAAGTTCCCAAGAAACGGGTGGGCGAGGGGGGTGGTGAAATAGGGTGGGGGGTGGGGATGGGTTGGTTCAAGGGTCGAGGAGGGTTGCCTTTTGTTCTGGGCGCTACTTTTGAATTGTTTTTGAAGTTAAATGTGTGATAATTTAATGACTGTCGACGCATCGCTCACAAGGACACACACACACACACTGAGTATCTGCCCCGCCCACCGGGAAAACCACCCACCCCTAGTTATATAACTCAATCCGCACTGAACGTTTAATTTAGTGGAATAATAAAAATGTTTTTGGGGCATAAAAATCTGTGGCTGGCGATGATTTGTGCACTTTCGATGTAACAGATTGTCTTTTAATGCCTTCGATTCAGCCAACTGTGACACCCAAAAATCTCCGATCTTACAGGGTGGGAATTATTAAATCTGGAATTGTGGCTTTTCAGCCTGGCAACAGTTTAGTCATCGTCTTCAGTTTGATAACTATTTTCCAGCTTAACTAGTTCGCGGACAGCCAGCTGATCTGCCCAGCATATGTTGTATGAATCCGATTTGAAACACGTTCGTTGTTTACGTTTACATTAGCATATCAGTCCAGTTATTTGCATAAATTAGTGGGCTGGCAGAACTCTCCAGTGTTTTTAGACATTTTCCTCTAGTCAGACGGACAGGTGGTGATATTATTCTTTGAAGGGATGAGACACCTGTGTATACTAATTAAGTCAGCTTAAATGAGACTGTAGACATTTCCAGTTCTTTGCTAAACTTGTGCATATTTTAGACAGTTCTTAATTATGAGGAATTTCGGGGAAGTTTAAACTTTTTTTAGGGAAGTACATTTGATAAAACTACTAAAAAAATCTGAAATTTGTTTGCTGTTAACGTTATCTCAGAAATTTGATTAAATAATGATTTTGTTGTTGTTATTGTTCAACCTTATGTAACTATCGTAAATAAATTTATAAATTTATGAAACTCGGTAAACGCTTGAACTTGGCTGATAAACAAAAGCAATCTTATAATTTATTTGTTTATATTGTTTGAAATTAGTCTTGTTCTTTATGCATTCTTTATTTGTGTTTCATAAGCATTTATTTTTTAACTGTTGACCCAGTGACATGTATATTTATTTACAAAACAGATCAAGTTATCTTATATGGTGCCTTGCTAAAAAACTTTCGCTATGTTTGCAATATACTCAAATGTCTTTAGAACACATATTTTTCTGTGTTGAATGATTTACAGCTGTGATTCGCACTGTCTTTTTCCATCGCTCGGCTCACCTGCAATGCCTAAAAACAAAACCTGCGAAAGCCAACGAAGATTTATGCAAATCCCGGCGAGCGAATGTTAAAATGTTAAAGCTTTTGATTCGGCGCTAATGTGAAAATATGGCGCCCAGTGTGGAAAAAAACCGAATATCAAATGTGCAAAAATCGCACAGCCACATTTGCATATGACAAAGTGAGGCAGACAGCCGCAAACAATGAAAAATGACGACGACGAATGCTCGCAGGCTTAGTTGGGGTAATTTAATTTGGCAAAATATAAAAAGGTTGCAATAAATAAATTTCCCCGGCCCCACAGCACGTGACTGCTGCGATTTATGAAACTCAATTAATGTGTGGAAATTTTTATAAATGAATTTATTGCATTTATGTGTTTGTGTTGTGACAAATAATCGCCATAATCATAGTGATATTTTTCTCCTTCAATGCGGTCTCTCCAGTGGCGGTGGCAATGATACCCTTCCGTTTCCTAGCAGAAGTGCAGGTTATTGAACTGCTCCCGATTGTTGGCGACCATCTGGTTGTATTTGAAGGCCGCCGACTGCTGCTGCGAGCTGCTCTGAACGGTGAGCCTCGTATTGCGCAGGAAACTGTCCGCCGGACTACTGGATACGGCGTACTTGCCGCCCAGACCCTCAACAGTCCGCATGGGACTCAGGTGCTTGGCCGGGATGGCCTTGCTGGGTGTGCGAGTTTGGTGAACCATTTTCAAGGATTTCTTTCAAGTTTCAACAGGAGCTGAGATGAGCTTGGTGTTGGTCGGGTGATTCAGGGCACACTGGAGAGACGCGTGAGCACGGAGAATTCCAGACAATTGCCGCAGTTACTAGTGCGAGAGCCGCCTTTCTTGGAAGACAGATGTTTAGATAGACTGAAAACAGAAAATTTAATAAATTATTTTGATGTCGAGAACATAAAAACATAAAAAAATAAATCCAATTGCACATTTATTTATACAAATTGTAAATAACAATTTTATTGCATGCCATTATGCACATTTTTCAGCGATTTCAAACAATTTAAAACTCTAAATCAACGTTAAAGTGTTTTTTTAGCAATGAATATTATAAAATCAATATTAAAATGTACAAATATGAAATTTGTATATTTTGTTATCTGCTGCAGAATTGATTTTCTTCCAAAATATCCCCTTAAGTTTCTCCTTCCTTACCTTATATTATTCAGCAGCTTGGCTTTGGTGTCCGGTGTCTTCATTGACACATTTGTTTATGCACGTAGGGGAAAATATTTTTGAAAAATCACTGATTGGGTATCGACTGCTAGGCCTTCAAGCTTTAGTCTGTTGGATTTCGAACCGACGGAGGTGCTTTTATATCAGAAAGCCATCCCAGATTTAGTTGATATCATCACGCGCTGGGAGCGTGCTCAAGTTAAACTAGTTTTTCGGCGACTGTGATGCAAAATCACCGGCGCAGACATGTGCCAAATCGCTTGTTTACGCCACCGAATGGTACGTCAATGGAACCACCGTAAAAGCGAGTTTGCCACGCGGTTTTCCATTGACGGATCAAAACTGTAAACATCTCGGCCAGCGAGTAAACAAACTCAAACTCCAAACAAATAAACAAATAAATTAGGGGAATTTTTGGGGACCAAACATTGAAGGCAGTTCCCCTCAAGGATCTATTGAGCATGCTTCTCGAAGGCAACCAGACAAGTGTTCAACTTAAAGAACTTCGCACTTTATATAGATTCTTAGTATCGAATTTTATAGAACTCAACCTGTCGGGAATAATATATACTTTTATTTACTTTCTTTGTTCAGTGTCTGGGGCACGTTTTCTAATTATTGAATTATGTGTCTGGCCCATTTGCATAACGCAGTCTCTATGGAATTTTTGGCAGACATATAAATTGGCTATATAATACACAAGTCAAATGCTGAATTTGACAATTAAAACGGCGGCTTAGACGTTCAAAGTACAATGTTCGATTTGATATTGTTCTGGATTGTTAAAACAAGTTTTTGGGAATAACCACTAGGTGAAGAGCGTAGAGGATCGGGGGATCCTGGATGTCGTTAAACCTATAAAATTGTTTTTGTGGATTTTTTACCACTGAACATTGTCCGTCTAATGGTAAAAGGGCAATGAACGATTTCTGGAAAATTATCCTAGCAAGTTTAACTAGATTGTGGGGAATTTAAAGCATATTTCATGATTTTTACTGTTTTAGGGAAGCCCAAATATCATTGAACTCGTTAAAATAGAAATAAAAATAAAATTAAATAGAAACTAAATTAATTTTTATAGGGCTTTGCAGAATATCCTTCATTGTTTTATTCTGGATTCCAGCATAATACAGATCGTTTGGCTATATGTCTACAAATAACTGATTAAAATACCATAAAACAACAACAGGCTTTCGAGTTGTTTTTTCGATCGAATTGGCTGATGCAATGCAACCAAGACTTTTCATCAGTCATCAGTTCATGCTTAATACGTTATATCAATAGTGATCAGACGATATACACGTTCATTATAGATTCATATAGGCAGATATTCGAAAACATTAATGCATCGAGGTTTTAGAAGATCAATGAGTTAGGAAATAGCCCTATTTAGGGGAAGTTTTGGGGTGACGTGTCAAAAAACCGCCGGCCGGTAACTCTAAATTTTATACCAATCATTTTGATCATTTTTGTGGAGAGAAGACAAAGGAAAACACTACGTGATACGCAGCAGGTTTGGTTGGGGTGGTTTTAATACCCTTTAAATACGAAGATTGGTTTGGTTTTTTGAATATATTATTATTACATTATCATTATATTATTATTATTAAATTATATTATTATTAAGAGTTATATCACTTTCTATTCGGTATGTACCACTGTTTAAATAAAACAATTTTATTAACTCTACTTATTGTTGATTTTTTATCCGTGGCTTAAGAAAAGTTCTAAAAACATAGTTAATTATATATATATTAATCTGTTAATAGATAAAACAATAATTTAATTACGAACTTAAATAAACTATATTTTAACGCAACCAATTTTAACTTAGTTTTTAGATTAATTATATATTTTTAAAATTGGTATAAATGAGTCGAGTCTTCGCAAATCGGTGGAGTTGTTTGCAAAGGTTTCGCCAATAAAACCAGTTGCTCGATCGCTCTAATTTGCATTGTCGACTGCTGGAACGGGTTAGCCTCAGACTGAAACCGAGTCTGAGGTCACCATGGGAAGAGGGGGGCGGAGTGGTGCGGGGGCGGTGTGAGGGAGGTTTCTTGGTCGGCTTGGCTTGGAACAGCCTGCAGCTGGCACCGCGGTACTAGTGTTACTTACTCGTAGAACGGTGACGCAGTTGCTCCGCCAGACATTGCACTCGGATCGACGGATCGTATCTGTTCGAATCGATTCGAATCGGATCGGATCGGCGTATTTAAACCAGTTGTGGTTACCGCTGGAGAGTCAGTAGAAAGTCCATACCAGAGCAGATCGGTACTGAGCTGTCAGGAGCGTGAGCTGTGAAATTTCCTTTCTTTCCTATCCAATGTGCAAGTTGCAAAAGTTTTGTGTCAATGAAACAAATTAATCACACAGATTCGAAGCAGAAATTGTTGAAGCAAGCAAGGTGGGTTGAGAAACTAAATAAATTTTAGAACTACGTAAAAATTGCAAAACAGATGTAGATGTTAAAATGTTGTTAGTAAAATTCTCACAACCAACTATTTCAGTAAAACAACTAAATTTTTATTTAAATCCCTTTGTTTTTTAATTCCAAATAGATTGGGAAAACACCTGTCATCGAAAAAAGGATCTCGCACCGGAAACTCGGCTAACAACAAGGAACTTAAAGTACTCACCCTGTTACAAACTGTACCGTGAACTTTGACCTCTCTACGCAGCTCTCTCTAAGCGCAGCTTTGTGTAATCGGCAGAAAATTTAACTTATTCAAAAAAAAAGATATCCCAAGGAAAATCTAAAGACAAAATGGTCTACACCGAACGTACTGACAAGTGCCTGAGCAGCACCACCAAGGACAACCATTCCTCGAAGGGTCAGAACCAGTCCAAGTCGTCTACTGGCTCGGGATCTGGATCAGGATCAGGATCAGGATCTGGATCGTGGAGCAGTCAGGCCTCGAGTGCTGCAAAGTGGAAGTACAACAGCATGGTGAATAACGATCGCCAGCAGTTCAATGGCATGCATTTCTCCTAAATCGGAGCCACAATTCCAAAGGAAATGTTTCCTCAGAAAAAAGGGGAACAACATGAAAAGGGGGAACGGGGGAGCTTGTTGATGTTGTTGCTTCTATTTGGTTTAGCAGGGTTCGTTTTAGATTAGTTTTGTAAGCTCTTTATGGACTTAATTATTGCTATGTGATACAGAAAAAGAAAAAAATAATACTCCAATTGGTTGAAAAAATATAATCAGAAAAAAGATGCGCATAAAATTCATAAGATATTTTTATTTTGCTGAAATTGCAACTTGCTATAAAAAAGTTGTTGAAAGAAATTCAAAAGTATTTAAAGTGCGTAATAATATTTAATTTTTGGTCAGTACATTTAAGCTCCACCGCCAATCACCTATCAATATCCCTGTTCTTTGACCTTGCCACTTGACTTGACTTGACTGATACCCAACGCATATTTTATTGTCTGCAGCATTTGCATGAATTGCGGCTATTAGCGTGATTAAGCCAACTTCTGGATTGGGCTACGGACAAGGACAACCCTCGATGAATCCGGACGGAGTGCACTTAATACGCATTAGCTACGCTTATTTGACAGCCTCAATCTGCCGAGCGATTCCTGCAATATTGATGATGTCTGGCCATCCCCTTTTTGCTTTCCATTTTCCCCCCGATCTATTCCTCTGGCGCGTGTCCTTTACCGAGAACAAGTGTATCTCCCAGTGCAGCCGCAAAAGGACGACGTCCGGTTTTCGTTACGAGGATTCGTTCGACTGTATATCTGGAAAGTGCGAAATTTTTATAATTTTTCAATTGTATTGTGGAAGTTTGCCCGAAACGGGGAATATTCACTTTGAAGCGGGAGTGAGGAGGATGCTGCGGTTGTCCTTCGGTCGTGACACACGACTGAGCAGGGGACTCGAGCTTAGCAGGACACGTGGCCCATGGCTATTAGGAAAAGCGATTTCCTTGACGGTGCTAATAGAATTCTCGCACTCCCCGCAAATCCCATCCCTGCGCCAACGTATAAATGTTGTGGCGTTTTTGGGTTTCCTTTCTCTGTCAATGTCCTTTACACAAAAAAAAAATTTAAATCATTTTCCCATGTTAAAAAATATTTAAATATCAAATAGTATTTTTCAAACATTTATCATTGGAAACGCTTGTTCCAAAAAGTAAAACAATTCTAAAGAGAATGTTAGAATTGCCCTTAAGATAAATTTCTAAATTTTTAATCGCTTTCTTATCAGAAAGAGAGCGATGCCATGATATTTTCATTATTTAAGGGAACTAAAAGTAAAAAAAACATTCAATATTTAAATTTACAATATATAAATATAAAACATTTTTAGGAGTGTACCCCGTATAGTTGAATCCTGTTATTTTTCCTCCCACTCAACCCATCTCCTTCGGCTTCTGTCTGTACTGGGCCTTGTAATTACTTTGTTTCCTAGCGCCAGGCGGTCCTCAGCACCCAAAAGATTCCTTGTCACTTTTGGTGTTGTGCGATGCAATTAAAACCGCTCCGCAGGTGTCCTTTGAACTTTGTCACGAATATAAACTGTGTCTCAGCGTTTGTTCGTTGGTGTGGAATGTGTCAGTTGCAAGGCTTCCGAAACGGGACAACGCTCTCTGATTTGTCAGACAGAAGCAATTATCACGTCATTATCAAGGGAAGCCCACAAAACTGTTGATGCTTTGATTTTTGTTTTAGTAATTGAAGTCTAAGATATTATTGTATTCAATTTGTTCTGGACTTGGAATCTGCTATATAATTGTAATATTACAAAATATTTGAAAGTGAAGGTTTGTGTTTTTCGGAGAAGAGTTTATATTATAAATAACTTTAAAATAAAAAAGTTAAATATATATACTATCCAAATTTAGCACGTGCCAATGTTTCTCCTGTAACAACCAATTTATGATGGTCAAGAAAGATCTTAGGCAATGGAAACAATTGAAAACTGATTTCCAGTGAAGGACAACCCTCTACCACTTCCTCCACTCCCTTCTCAGATGGCATATGTCACAATGGCACGTTGGGAAATTATGAATAATATCCGTAACTTCTGCCTAGACACACACACATACACGCCCAAACGCCGTCAAATATTCCCGAGCAGCTTGCGCTGAAAAAGTGGAAAAGGGCGGCCATGCCCACACTTCAACTCGGTCCAAGTCGACGCCTCTGAAATTGTGCATTCCAAACTCCCAAGCAAATTTGTTTGGGGCGTGCCGTCAGATACAACTTCCGATGACATCCGACAGATGTTTTGCAGCCAACGGAACAGAACAGAACAGAACAGGATAATCAGCGGAGCGAGGGCGAGTTTGTAGTACTTTGCACAGGAGTTGCGCCCGCTTGCAAAACAATTGTCGGCATCATCGGCACATTTGCCGTCGCGGATGTCTCCGCCAGCAGCAGTTGAAATATGTACAAAGTCGAATCAGATGCGAATTATACTCGTATTTGAATGTGCGAGCACTCGATGATAATGTACGGGCGTTGACATCTCGGCAAAGGTGTTTTGGCTTCCTGTTTGGCACATGACAATGTCATCACCACATGGCAGACTCACTCGATTCCAATTCGGTGGCAAGGTGTGACGCATCTGAAATTGATTGCCCAAAGACCGGGGAATCCTGGTGATTTTGCGTGATATTCGATCATGTTCAGCTGCTAGAATATGTGGGCAGATACAAAGTGGATAAGTGAATTATGAAAGGAAAACATTACCACCTTTTAATTTTGTACAATTTAAGAAGTTTTCGTTGAAAAGAATTTTTTAAGCAATTTAAATTTTGTTTTATTTAGAAAATTCCAAGCTTGAATTCCAAGAATTTTTACGAGAAAAATCTAATACAATATTATTTTTTCTAACGACTTTATATATTTAAAATTTTATTTTGAAGGCTTAAGAATTTCTTTTTTTTATGAGAAACACAGATATGACATATTTAAAATGTTATCTGTGTGAATATTTATTTATCGACACAGGGAAGTATAAATAAATTATAAATCAACTCAAGTCAATTAATTTCTAATCTAAGGCTTACTGTCCTTTTTACCTATTCAATTATGTTCCCATCAAACTAGATTTACTTCTGTCAATTGTAGACAACTCTATCAATACATGGATTTGCATACATCACACCATTTATGATATATCATATCATATAACGTCTCATAAACTTATGCAAATGGCCCAATCATATACACATTTGCCGCTGAATATAATTTACAAAATATGCCAAACATTCGCCCCGACAAAAGGTGGCAATTACAAAAAAATAAAACAGAGAACCATGAACTCAATTCAATCAAAGAGGGAGAAGTTTTGAGTTCTGAATCGAAAGCAACCACCTCGTTTGGCCCTTCTTTTTCCATTGTTGCGGATATGTTTTTCAGCCGCCATTTCTGATCGACAGCTGTCATGAATGACAATTGGATTGCAGCAGCAGAAACTCTGAAGTTGTGGCCTCTGGGCCACTGCAGCGTCGAGTTCAGATTCTAATAAAATATGCAATAAAAATATGAGACCCCGTAATGATTGCCAGTATTTATAGATTTCGAGCATTTTTGCGGCTGCTGCTGCGGCGAGGTCATCAAAACGAAAACAACCGAATCGACATGGAAATTGAAACAATGGCAAGGCGAGTAGCAATCGAAGCCCCAGGGGCGTAGAGGGCAGGGAATTTCCGAACGGGGGTGGGGTTATGTTCTGGAGTGGAGTGGATCGAACCGAACAGAATCGAACCAAAGTGGAGTGGTCCTTGAGTAAAACGCAGAAATGCGGTTGCTTTTTTGTGGGTCGTCTTGGAATAATTTCAGAGTGGGTAGATGTTTATGCTTAGCAAGCTACGGTTTTTTAACGCTTTTAACGCGTTACTGTTGAAGCTCAACTTTTCGCTTAACTAAGTCTTTTTGTTATAGGTTATCTTCATATTTTTTGCAATTATTATCTTTTCAGAATTAGAGATAAGATAGCGTATTAGATCATTTTTGAATGTGTAAACAATGCTGAACAATGCTAAGGAACTGCTTGTTATTTAAGTCACACACGTATAAGTTTTATAAGATCGATTTTTTGTCATATCCAAATGAAATGTGTTAATATCAATTACCATTGTTAGTGATAAATATTTAATTACTGCTGTTTTAGATTTTAAAATTTCGGTATTTAAGCTCTTTAGGTTTTCCTAAATATATTTGGTTACATTTCTTGTAGCTGATTCCTTGAGTCTCACTGGCCGAGTCCCCTTTTAAAAGTTCTGTTTTTCAAGAACCATATTTAGCTTGTTTTCGTACGCACAACCGCATGTGGGAAAGGTTAAGAGAAAGGGAAACAGAGTGCAAAACCTTTAAATGCAATTATGGCCTGTGGCTCATGTGAGCTCAAGTGCGGCGAGGTCGTCACAAAACGCCAATGATATGCTCTCGAGTGTCTTTTGTTGTGGCTTAAATACATAAGCAGGGTAACTCCCTCTTTTTGACCCCTTTCCACCAGTTTCCTCCTGTTCTAACAGCCTGCTTTAAATTGAGCGCGCCAAAAAAGCCGTGGCTGAGCTTTCCATTCGCTAATCGGGTGGTGCAGATGGGTGAGCCTTTTTGTCAGTGTGTGTGTGCGTATCTGTGTGTGGTGGTGTGCATGTGTGTAAGTGTATATCGCATATGCAACGCTCCACAATCGCATCATTTTGAGCAATTAAGTGTGTATTATCCGTCGCTGCGTCTGTCAAAGGGCCTTGAAAGCAACTTCAAAAACCGAATCCAGTCGCGGCATCGCAGTTGCTTCTATTCCTTTTCCGCCACCGGAAGTACATTGAATGTGCCAGTGTGTGAGTGTGTGTATCAGTATATACCGCACACAGTAAAAAAAATAGCAAACAAACTAAAAATCATTCTTTCATTTCTGAAATATCACTTATATTTACCTTATTATTAAAACAAAGGTTAATAATAACTAATATTGCTTTTAAAACAGCTGATCCTACGCATTAATAACAACTACTGTTTTTAGTATTTTTAAAATATAGAAACTAATAAAAAAATCTTTTAAAAATTGCATTAAAAGTTTTATGCGGCATTTTGGATTTAGAGCTCTTCTTTTATAAAAAGTATTAGGATTATCATTTAGGACTACCGAATTTGTGATTAAGATTAAGTGTTAAAAAGTACATACATGAAAATCTAAAAATGTATCCATAATTTTTTGCTGTGTATATATTCCCTATCCTCAAATCCGCGCTTTTCATGCGCA